AAAGTAATGCAGCACTAATAGACCGTATCAAATATTTATTTATTGACGATAAGAGAGCTCCTTCTATGTCTAATGTCCCTATCTTTATACGGATTAGAACGACAGGGGAAGCAGACACTGTAAAGGAACGGAGATAGAGTGGCATGGTAAAAAAAAAAAAAAAACGGTTAGAGAAAATTATACTACATAGAGAATGATCGACGAAAAGGGTAATAGTTATTGTAAAGGAAAAGAGATTAAGAGAGGCATAGTAAAAAAATTTTTGCTAGACAAAGTTACTGCTCGCTTTGATAAAATTTTATACAAAATCACACATCGTGTTCCAAATTGGTATTCACGTGCGCTAACTTGATGTGTTAAGTTTCTGCATAGCATGGTTAAAAATAATTAAGTATCCCATTTGTTATATCGTAGTGTCACTGTGTTTCTTTGTTCAATTTATTTAGTTTGTTAATGATTATGTAAATAAGAATAAATCTGTATAAAACTTCATACCCGTTTAGTTATTGCCTGTAGGCGTTTCATTATTGTTACATTTAATATATATATAGAATCTTTCATACATCGTAAAGTAAAAGATGTGTGTCTGAGTCAAACGGCGACATGAGAAGCCTGTATACTAGTACGACTCGAGTATAGCATGTAAAAATCCTACTCAGTATGGTTGTATTGGAAATCTTTTCATACAGATAGATAACTCATAGTCCGACATTTATGAAATATTTGCCACAAGACGCTCATATTTCTTTCTACTATCATCATCTTATTCATTAAATATTGCTGTAAACATCGATGGTTCACACCCAAACCAAATGGGAGTAATATACCTTTAGAGCTTCTCCGTGGTATACACTTGTCACAAATATATAGACGAAATTCGTTATTGAAGTGAATCTACATCTCACAAACACAATTTTTGAATTACGATTTTGAGTGAACAACCACCAAACCAATACAAAATGGCAAGATATAACCATGCAGGCATTTAGTTTTCGTCAGACACAAGATAAATAATACGCTCATATTGCTTTCTACTATCATCATCTGCTTCATCAAATATTAATTGCTGTTAACAACGATGGTCCACACAAAAAAAAAGGAATTATATACAATCAGAGCTTCTCAGTGGTATACACTTGTGAAGTATATAGACGAAATTCTGTATTGAGAAGTGAAATTACATCTCACAAACATTATCTTTGAATTACGATTTTGAGTGAACACACACCAAACCAATAAAAACGTATAGCAAGATACATAACCATGCAGGCATTAAGTTTTCGTCAGGTACAAGATAAATAATCGCTCTCATAAACGTACATGCATGCAGTTTATGATATCAAGAATAAGAGGTCGATGTCTGTGGATCATTGTTCAGTTCGTTTACTGACTGTTTAGAGTCAGACATGTCACTTATTCATTTACATTCTTGGAAGCATTCGTGTACCCCATCCGACGATAGGAACTCTTTTCCGATAGTGTTGACAACTATGCTTGTATGGTGATTCTGTTTTTCTGGGCAAGTGGTTGGCCTCCCCTGACCCAACAAACAAACGAACGATACGCTATTAGTCTGCTTTGTCCTTTAGAAAGAACATCTGGAGCTCGTCTTCAACGGCGCTTATACCTCAGGAAAAGTATACTAGTACAGCTTGTTTCAAGGAGACGAACTGTTCTAAAATCGTCATTGTCAGCAATACATTACTAAGCTATGCCATTAATTACTACAATTACTATTTTGGATTAATGACGGCTACCCTGTAGAGTATTACACTAAATTATAATATAATATAAAAATGAGTATATTTAATTTTCATATGTTCAAACCGTTAAAGACAATTAGAACACCTCATACAAAAAACAGATCAAAAGAAAAAAAAAAAGAAAATACAAATTTCCAGACGGAATAAACAATTATTTTAATAGCTTAGATTTATAATGAATGAAATAAATGATAATTGGCATTCTTTTCACAAATAATTATTCTAAGAGATTGTTAGTTGAATTTATTATGTAGGAATGAAATTTTAAAAAGAAGATAAAAAATTATGCATGTTGTACAATTGTATTTTTTCAATGAAAACTTTTAAATTGCGATAGTTTTTCGATTGTTAGCATTTAAACATCGCCAGATTTAAATACAAGTTAAAGAATTCCGGTAAAGTAAATTAAACAGATGTGCAATTATTAATTGGGAAATGTTAAATTAATTTTCTTTTAACTTCATATTTTAATTTTATGCTAATTGCATAGAGCGTAATCGAAAATTGTTCCATTTCAAAATACACTTCCGGAATTAAAAAAATTGAATGTTTATTTTCAATTAATTTATACATTTTAATTATTGTTTCTCTATTGTCATCGGGTATTTCAGCTTGGTGTATTAAACACGCTATACTCTTTCTGTTAATCCATTCAAAATGACAACATTCATACCTGTGTACGCCTGAGGCTAAATTGCTGCAAGGTAAAGTTCAAACGAATTCTCCTCAAATCGATAAATAAACAATGACTTTACAAAATAATATACACACTCTGTTCACAAATATTTTGCCTTGAAATGGTTACCAAAATTATAGCGGTAAATAAAACGTAAAATATTTTCAGTTTAATATCAGTCTAAGTGTTCACAGAAATTTTATGAAAAAATCTCACCAATAATTTATGAAATTAATTCGAAAATATTTATATTTAGATAACTTCATATAGGAAGTATTATTCAATCAATTCAAAACGGTACACACATATTCATTTTCTTTCAATCTTATATTGTGGTTATTAACTACGACCAACGGTCATCTGTGCGCTTTTAATTACGTAAAATTCTGATAAGCAATTAAGACTTTTAACAGATTTTATTTTTTCCCATGATTCAACAAATCGGGTTAAAACGTCACAACCCAGTGACGTAGGTCAACCAAAAAAGTTACGAATACTTGATTTTCTCCGTTATTAAAAGAATATAAATTTAAAACTTTGTGAATGTGTTTTTTATGTTAGGATGAACATATTTAGATGATAAGTAAAAAATCGCGGACTTTCCCTTTAACTAAATCTAACAAAAACAGCAGTAGTTGTCCTTTTTTAGATTTGGACATTTCAATCTCTAAAGGAAAACTCCATACTAAAATTTACGACAAAAGAGACGACTTTTCATTCCCTATTGTTAATTTTCCTTTGTTAGACGGCGATGTTCCTTTGGCTCCATCATACGGTGTTTATATATCCCAACTCGTTCGTTATGCCCGTGTGTGTAGTGATGTCATAGATTTTAACGAACGTAATCAATGCATCACTGGTAAATTATTAAGTCGGGGATTTTGTTACCATAAATTATGTAAAACTTTTACTAAATTCTTTCATAGATACAAAGATTTGATTAGTAAATTTGGCTGTACCTGTAGAAAACTGATTAAAAACAGTATTTCACATCCTAAATTTTACGGTAATATTGTACTTAAAGCCCGGAAATCACTATGTGATCCGTGTAAACTCATCGAACCTTTAAACAAACTTATTAGTAAAGGTTGTCTTACCAATGTTGTAATTAGATCTTTGAATATAGTTTACATTGGCACTAATATCGATTTTGTCATTGGCAAATTAAAACATAACTAAATTTGTATTCTTTTCAAACGGGATGTATAAAGACACACCCGTGTTCATTTTGATCTTGGAGGTTAACTCCTAACTAGCTTACTGCCTGTCGATACATTTATTTTTGGCATTACACAAGTCATGTATTCTTTGACTGTCCATGACGTTAAAATACTACATCCCTGGGATGTGTTTTAGTTGATTTTAGTCTCTTATGCATGATTTTTTATTATTGTTTTTGGCTTTTAACTAGCTGTCAGTAACTGCGAGTACTCTCAAATCGTACTTTCTTGTTTATGACCTATTGATACTAATTGTAATGCTTTTTTGTTATTTAATGTTATTCAGGGTTATATCTGGTCTATATACCAGCTTTGATAAGTGTTTGGTATTACTATAAATTTTCACTTCTTCGTACTATGAACATCAAAATTATTTATTTTGTAAAAATATTTCCTTTCTCTATTTGAACTGTACACGTATACCTAACAACAAAATTATTTTTATTTACCTGTGTTTAAAGTAATTGCAAATGGCTGATATTTTTGTTCAAGTAAATTGTTTTTCTTAAATTGTTTAAATTTCACAGCGGTATAACATGTTACTTTAATTATTCTTCCCTGCATTGTATCATAGATCAAATTAATTTGTTCAGTGTATGTTCACTGGTGTTAATATGTCTTTTGATTGAGTTAAGCCATTTCAATTGATATTCTATAGTGTGTTTTTCTATGTTGTGATGTTACACTATTGTTTCTGATAAGGGTGAAGGTTTGGTACCATTAAAACGTTTAAACCCGCTGCAATTGTTTGCACCTGTCCTAAGTCAGGAATCTGATGTTCAGTATTTGTCGTTTGTTGATGTGGTTCATAAGTGTTTATGGTTTCTCGTTTTTTATATAGATTAGACCGTTGGTTTTCCCGTTTGATTGGTTTTACACTAGTAACTTTTGGGGCCCTTTATAGCTTGCTGTTCGGTGTGAGCCATGGCTCCGTGTTGAAGGCCATACTTTGACCTATAATGGTTTACTTTTATAAATTTTGACTTGGATGGAGAGTTGTCTCATTGGCACTCATACCACATCTTCTTATATCTATTGTTAGAGAATAAAAGGGTACAAATCAGTACAATGATTATAACATTATCAATTTGGTGTTTACCTGATGTAACTAAGTAACCAAATGTAATGACGTTACCAGAAAACAAATGCTGACTTTTCATATGTATAGAGCTTTAATGACAAAAGTGAAACTGATAATTTTCAGGTTTTGTTAGTAATAAAATTCTGAACCTTTTGATGGTTGAACACTTTTATATGAACTTTATTGTTTTCAAATCATTTGAAATGACCCTTTTGATCTACTCATTTTTGTTTCTTGACCTAAAAATTGTGAAACCAAAACATGACTTTCGTTTTTATTCAGGCTAAAATAAAACAGATTTGATTATGTCACCAGATTTATAGCACAGGACTCACTGAGCGCTGCTCAGCAAATCAATACTCACTGATTTTCTCACCAATAAAGCCTACAGCCAATATGAATAAACAATAACATTAATGTCCTCTTGCTTCCTTCAAGAATACCCCTTATCTATAACATCCCTTGAATGCTTGAATAATGGACCATTCAGAATCCTGAACATTTTGTATATTAACCAATGCAATTTTTAGATTAATGTTCAGGTATGCATAACTTTGCTTACTGCCACCACTGACATATACTAATCCATTACAACTTCTCCAAACATTAACATAGTACACTGTATTACAATCAATTAAATTAAGACTAACATCAATCATCTTTGAATTCAATATCCCCCACAACAGTCATTGTATTGTCTATATTTAGTGGAGGTTCTTCTGTGTTTAGATCTTCACAAGTTAATGATGATTCCTCTGTGCTCAGTCCACATTCTTCTCCAGCATTGACAATATCATCTACAGAATTTGCCTCTTGTTGGTGCTGCTGAGCTAATTGCTAAAAAGAGAATTATATTTATTTTACAAGCCAAACAAAATAATGATAAAACTTTTGCATAACACATATATCTCCAATGTTTTATTAAAAGGACAACAACTCTTAAAATATGAATGGTATGAACCAGTTTTCCCATTCCAATCAACTCAATGTGAAATTTGGAGATATTGCCTTGACAAATACTCCCAAATGCTGAAATAACAAAAGTCTATGCACTAATGATGATAACTTTCAAATGTTTCAAAGAGGTAAGGTCAATTTCATCTAAAGTTATTTCACACTTGTGCTATTTAAAAAAAATCTTCAATCTTTTCTAAAAGTCACAGTATTATATGTTTTATTTTCTGACAGAATAAATATCATGTCATATCTTTGAACATCCACATGTAAGCAAATTATAAAAGTTTTCAGATAGTTCAAAAGTTGAAAACAGCAAAGGACAAGGTATGTTTAGGGACCAAATTGGACCTAAAATGAAATGTTGAATCTATGTACTTTAATAAAACATTGCAATTTATGTTAAAAATATTTTCCAGTCATCGGTTATAGTCATGATAAAACAGAAAAGTTAGTAAAATAGAGATTGAGCCTAAAACAAGTTGATTCACAAATGACCTACATTTTGGAAAATCTTTTACTTGTAATATTTTGACTCTCTAAGAGTCAAACGATACTAGGTTTCATCAACTTTCAGATTTTGATTACCATGACTGAAACACATACATGAACCTTCAAAACGAAGGCAATGTCAGGTGATTCCTGTAATGGATGTGCACATATTGCAGCAATTCTTCACCCAAAATAAAAATTAACTATTATACTGAACAAAAACTGACCTAATCACGAAATTTTAATACTGACTTAAACTAGTCATTGAACCATGAAAAACTGTTGACACAGATATAAAAACAAGACTGCAAATGCTGAAATGTCTTGCCTGCTAAAACTGACCATGATTGATTTGATGTTGACAGTCTTAAAGATACGGTTTTACATAAACTTAACATTTTCAGAGATCCATGACAATAAGGTTAAGGTTTGATAAATCCTGTCAGACAAACACCTGACAATCATTCCATACACCAAATATAGTTGACCTATTGCTTACAGTATTTGAAAAACAGACCAAAACATGAACAAAATTAACATTGACCAATGAACCATGAAATTGAGGTCAAGGTCAGCTGATACCTACCAGATAGACATGTACACCTTAAAATCATACTGTACACCAAATATAGGTTTTTGAAAGGTATACGACAGAGCTGACAACAGATGCCAAGTGATGGCAATAGCTCACAAGGCCCAGAGGCAAGGTAAAAAAAAGTCCCATTTACATACAAATATATCCAAATATACAATGGGTACTTTGGATTTATTTCTATTTGTGAAGTACTAGTTTTCACAGATTTAGTGGTTGTTTGTAAACCTTGTAAGGTCCCTATTCTTTAGAACAGCCATGGCACAAGTCTTACCTTTGAGGAACCTAGTCGTTAAAACAGAGATGGCACAAGACTTACCTGTAAGGCTTCTAGTCGTGAAGGATCAGTGATTACATATACGTGTTGTCCATTTTCTAAAACAGATATGGCAGTGACTCCTCCTTGCTGTTGTAGTTGATCTAATGTCATGGTGCCAGGAAGTGTATTCTGTATAACTGTTGTGTTATTATCTGTATCTTCCTGAGACTGTTAAATAATAATATCACATGTAGATTTTCTTATCCCAGACATATAACCTTAGCCGTATTTGGCACAACTTTTTGGAACTTTTGGTCCTCAATGCTCTTCAACTTTGTACTTGTTTTGGCTTTCGAACTTTTTTGATCTGAGCGTCACTGGTTAGTCTTGTGTGGACGAAACGCGCGTCTTAAATTTTAAACCTGGTACCTTTCGTTAGCTATTTTTCATATGTTTCTCTGTCCTATATGTTCTCTCATTTATTTGTATTGTAGTTCTGTCATGTAATGTTGTCATTTTAATGTTATATTTAACATTGCCATAAAAGCAGGAGGTTTGGCTAGCCACAAAACCAGGTTCAACCCACCATTTTTTTCTTAAAATGTCCTGTACCAAGTCAGGAAAATGGCCATTGTTATATTATAGTTCGTTTCTGTGTGTGTTACATTTTAATGTTGTGTTTCTGTTGTGTCGTAGTTCTCCTCTTATATTTGATGTGTTTCCCTCAGTTTTAGTTTGTAACCCGGATTTGTTTTTTTCTCAATCGATTTATGAATTTCGAACAGCTGTATACTACTGTTGCCTTTATGTAGCAGATAACTGAAATCTTTCACTGCTATACATTCATGCAGAAAAGAATTTTACCAATAAAAAAGCATTTTAGTTCCAAAACTTGAGTGCATATCCTAAAGTTTCTTGTTTGTTAAATTTATCAACAGTTGATAATCATTGAGAAAAGTGTTACTACAAGTATTGAGAAAACTCAATATAAAAATAAGAAGATGTGGTATGATTGCCAATCAGACAACTATCCACCAGAGACCAAATGACATAGAAGTTAGCATCTATAGACTGCCATACAGCCTTCAACAATGAGCAAAATCCATACTGCATGGCAAGCTTTAAAAGGCCCTCAAATTACAAATGTTAAACAATTCAATGGAGAAAACTAATGTCCTCATTTATGTACAAAACAATAATAAAAGAATACAAATAGAATATACAGCAACAAATGACAACCACTGAATTACAGGTTCCTGACTAGAGACATGCACATACAGAATGTGGTGGGGTTAAACATGTTTGCGGACACCCAACCCTCCCCTAACCTTGGACAATGGTGTAACAGCACAACATAAAAACAAGGTATCAAAATCGGTTGAAAAGGTCTTAACTCATTAGATCAATACAAAGCACTTAAACAACAAACAAAAACACTAAAGACACAAAGTACAGATCTGAGAGTACTGGCAGTTACTGAAAGCTAGTTCAAAGCCAATAACAACTAATAAAATAAAATGCTCTGCAGGGCGCAGCTTGATACGACCGCAGAGGTCGAACCCTGAACAGTTGGGGCAAGTATGGACACAACATTGACGCTTGATACAGCTCTGAATTTGGATTGTGATTAAATATTTGACACAGCATAGGTTTCTGACACAGAATGAATGTGGTCTAAGAACTTAAAAATTTTAAATTGGACATTCACCTATTATGGTCCAATATCCAAAATCTAAATACATGGTTAGATTCAGCATATCAAAGAACCCCAAGAATTCAATTTTTGATGAAATCAAACAAAGTTTAATTTTGGACCCTTTTGACCTCAATGTGGACAAAGTTGATAACGGGGCCCAAAAATCAAAAATCTAAATACATGGTTAGATTCAGCATATCAAAGAACCCCATATATTCAATTTTTGGTTGAAATCAAACAAAGTTTAATTTTGGACCCAGATTTGGACCAACTTGAAAACTGGGCCCATAATCAAAAATCTAAATACATGTTTAGATTCAGCATATCAAAGAACCCTAAGAATTCAATTTTTGTTAAAATCAAACTTAGTTTAATTTTGGACCCTTTGGACCTTAATGTAGACCAATTTGAAAACGGAACCAAAAATTAAGAATCTAAATACACGGTTAGATTCGGCATATCAAAGAACCCCAATAATTCAATTTTTGATGAAATCAAACAAAGTTTAATTTTGGACCCTTTGGACCTCAATGTGGACCAATTTCAAAATGGGGCCCAAAATCCAAAAACTTAATACACGGTTAGATTCAGCATATTAAAGAACCCCAAGAATTCAAGAATAAAACCCCATTGAAATTGGTCAAGAAATAAGCAATTTATACGAAGTATCTTCTTTTGCACAATACTGTGCAACTGAATATTTCTTGCTATTGCGCAATACTGCACAATTGACAATTTCTTGCTATTGCGCAATAATGTGCTATTGGATATTTCTTGCTATTGCGCAATACTGTGCAATTGAAGATTTCTTGCTATTGCGCAATACTGTGCAATTGAAGATTTCTTGCTATTGTGCAATACTGTGCAATTGAAAATTTCTTGCTATTGCACAATACTTATCATATAATAATTTACACATCCTGTTTGGTGTGTATCTCCTACCATATCATTATTATTTGCTTTTAAATATAAATCAGAAATAACCAACTTAAAATGGAAAATTTTAAAAGAAAAAAAAAGGAAAAAAAGAAAAAAAAGGAAAAAAAAAAAAATCCCCCCCCCCAAATTTTTGAACCCCCTTATGATTCATTACACCCAAACTCAATCCCAGCCTTCCCTTTGTGGTATGGTACCTTGCAGTACAATTTCAGTTAGATCCATACACTTGAACACAAGTTATTGTCTGGAAACTAGAAAAATGCTTATTTTTGGCCCCTTTTTGGCCCCTTATTCCTAAACGTTTCGGGCAATTACCCCCAAACTCAATTCCAGCTTTCTTTTTGTGATATGGAACCTTGTAGTACAATTTCAGAAAGATCCATACACTTTCACACAAGTTATTGTCATGAAACTAGAAAAATGCTTGTTTTTTGCCCCTTTTTTGGCCCCTAATTCCTAATATTTTGAGGCAATTACCCCCAAAATCAATCCCAGCATTCCCTTTGTGATATGGAACCTTGTGGTACAATGTCAGAGAGATCCATACACTAACACACAAGTTATGTCTGGAAGTTACAAAAATGCTTATTTTTGGCCCCTTTTTGGCCCCTAATTCCTTAACTGTTGGTACCGTAACCCCCAAAATCAATCCCAACCTTCCTTTTGTGGTATTGAACCTTATGATAAAATTTCATAGAGATCCATTCACTTAAACTAAAGTTAGAGTGCGAAAACCAATGTGTCTTCGGACGACGACGACAACGACAATGACGACGACGCCAACATCATACCAATATACGACCGCAAAAATTTTTGCGGTCGTATAAAAATCATGTATCTAAGACTAAAACATCAATCAGTACACATCCAACATCCAATGAATTTAGTGTAAAAACATCATTCATTTTCAGAGAAAAACATGATCTTGTGCAATGCCAAAATATAGGTATAGACAGAATGTAGGACTTCAATTGGTAACTTTTTATAATAAGTTTATTTAAAGGATTGAGTAATAAGTTTTCTACAGGTACAGTCAAACTTCCAAACCAAATCTTTGTTTCTATGAAAGAATTTATTCAAGGTTTAAAACAATTGTGGTAAAGAAATACTTGACGGTCACTTAATATTTTACCATAATAAATACTTTTATTGAAATCCAAAATGTCGCTCCAAACACTGACATAACGAACAAGTTGTTTGGATATATAAACACTGTAAGATGGTCCAAAAAAGGAAAATTAACAATAGGGAAAGAAAAATTGTTCCTTTTGTCAAAAATTTTAGAGCACAGTTTCCTGTGTGAAACTGGAATATCTTATTCTAGGAAAGGACATGATAACTGAACCTTTAAATAAGGTACAGGTAAGTTGACACCTCAGTGTCTTCCCTAGAAAATTTTTCATGCATGGTGGGTCCATGGTGAATTTGCAACGCAGCGTGTGACGCTTCTTTTTCAGAATTAGTTACACTACATCATCTATATATTTCAAGCCATATACCAATCAAATTGTTTTATTATAGGTACAGCAATTCATATAAGTCATGGAACTTAGAAGTATTTATCACAGATGAGAGGAATTAATGAAAGATCTTAATAAACAATAATAAAAATAATCCAGTCTGCAATAGTTATTTACAAATTAATGTCATGTACACATTATTTTGTTGATATCTTCCTCTGTTTCAACTTTCCTTTGTTCCTTCAATTGATATCTATGCATTATGCAATTTAGCACTTTTTGGCATAGTCTGTTTCTCAAAGGTGTTTCAACTCTGTTTAGACATGAAAAACACCTTTCACAATCAGCTGTTGGCAAAACAAGACCAATTGCTGCATACTTAGACAGACAAAGATACTGTTTTTTGTTTCTTTGGATCTTTTGTGATTCTCGTATTTTCTTTCAGTGATACAATGGTACTGGTAGGGTTTCTTGTGTCTGTTGGTACATGTTGACTTTCAGTGCATTCTGGTGCAGGTTGAATTTCAACTTCAGTGCTTTGCTCATGGTGATGATTTTCATCTGTCTGACTACAATTTGATGAAGGAGTAGACTTCTCTAACCAACTTGTCAAAAAAGATGGGCCAATAAGGCAACGTTTCTTTGATGGTTGCTTGGACATGGTCGTTAAAATGATGATTGTTCTTCGAATTTTGCTGATAGAATGGCATCAACAGAAAGTTGTTAAATAAAACTTTGAATATCATCATTGCTTCACAGAGATTTTACAGGAAACAAAAAAAAAAGTTTACTTGCGTTAATTACAGAAGTCGTCAATGGAGAATACCTGACATACGGACATACGGATGAACTATTTGGCAATTACCTGTTTGGAAGCTAAGCTGACATTTTTTTCATAACAATTAACTACTTTTTTTTAAATACATCCCTGTCCGATTTATTTATAACACTTCATAATTGTGAAAATCCTATCTTGCCGAAGTGAAAGAAATTTAGCCCCACTTGTGTAAAAAACGGCTTGTGACCCATTGAAATAAAAATAGAACAACACAAGTTTATTAAAAACAATATTTCCGTAAATAACTACGCATGTTTTGAAAATTTTTCTATGAAATCTTATAAATATTTCATAAGACACATCTTTTTCTCGGCCCGGTGGCGGTGATGTGTATTCTTTGATATAATCAATCAACCGCTACTAATCTAAAAATAACTGATTGTTGTGACCAATCAAAAAATAATTCATCGATGTGAATATAGCTGAGGAAATAACTGCGAAACTTTATTAAAAAAATGTTTTGTCCATTCCCGGTGAAATTACATTAGTTTTATTTTATAATACCAAATTTTGAATTTCTACTTTTTAAAGATCACAGTAAAATAACGATGTCAGACACCCGTTTTAAAGGTGAAATTTATACTGGAATTGTTAAACTTTTTGTTTAGCACTGAAAGATATGCATTGGTGATTAATCTGTCTATTTATTTATCAGCTAACTGGCAACTTCTATTATGTAACCGAAGTCTCGATGTATAACCAACTAATCAAGAAGGTTGTAAAATCCCCGCAAGCGCGACGTGATGCATCCAATTATCAGTCGAATGAGTTTAAAACACCTGTGGAGTGTTGTCACTTGTCACTTCACTTTCAAAATATCGATAATAAATATTTTACAGTTATAATTTTCACACATAGCGTATGCATTGCAGCAATGATGAAAGCATGGCGGTCGAAATTTATGCGTAGCCGTACCACAATGCTTGAAGAGCCTAGGGAAAACACTGCACCTGTCAAACAAATATATACACCTAACAATGTGTCCATATACAAAATATAGTTGATCTTTCACACATTGTAACTGAGGTACTAACTTGTGCATAAAAACTTAATATTGATCACTGAAAATAGGCCAAGGATCTGTTGACTCCTTACATATGGACATATACACCTAACAACCATTCTATAAACCAAATATAGTTAAGTGCATGGATGTTAATGCAACAGCATTAAATAATCACTTCTACACATCTGCAATAAAACATAATGTAATGTTGACAAATGAGCCATCTAAATGAGGTCAAGGTTAGATGAACCCTATCAAACTGATATGCACACCCTACAATCATTATCAAACTGAATTATTATCAAATTGGTAAACCTAGTCCTTCACCAGTTTCTAATCCTCATTTAAATAAACAGTGAATGTGTCCATGGGACACAGATGATGCCCCAGCTTGCATATGACATTATAAAGGGACATAACTCAAGAACTGTAAAAGTGACGCAACCCAAATTCAAATTTGATCTGTGTTTTGTGGTGATAAGCATTGTGTATAAGTTTCATAACATTTGGTTTAGGCAAACTTAAGTTAGAGAGCAGAAACCAATATTGGGATGTACAGATGGATGGGGGCATAAAATGTTGATATCTTTATGTGACTGACCTAATTTAATATTGTATATTTACCTGTGTAGATTCCATTCCACTGTTCCCATTATTTATCACCAATGTGTCATTTCCTTCTGTAGTAGTTAAAGCATACTCAAATTTAACTTTCTTGGCAAGGGGCTCTCCAGTCTCACCTTCACTTCCATTCTCTACAATAAAAATGTTTCAGCTATTACACAGACAAATCTTGTTAGATACGGTAAGCCATATTCTATGTTGAACAAAGGTGATTAAATACTTAGTGTAGAAATCGTGTTTATTTACAGTATCTGTTACATAATTGACCACATGATTGTTAGGAACCAGGACATAAAGAAATAAAGAAATGTCATGACTTTCATCATCAAGTTATTGAACTGAAACATATCATAATGGTCATCCACTGTTATCTTATATAAATTTCATTCAAGTATATGTACATGTATGATAGCTGTTTTATTTGGTATCTACACTGATGAGGAATTTATCTTTTTTAAAATTTGACTGGTTTGTTTCAACATTCCTGACAGTTTTGTATTTAAAAGAGCAACTGTCACTAAAGATAACTTTACATAGTGATTGAAAACCAAAGCAAAAACTGATCCAGTGTGAAAAAGATTTACAAATAGAGACTGTCATATGCACATGCATTGAACCATCCTGGATGATTTGCCCCTGGATGCATACAGTAAAAGTCATATTTCTTATCAAAAATGTTAAAGTTACTTTGAACAATATGATTAATTCACACCTTTCCCCATTTACTTTCTGAATCATTTTGTCCCAGTGTGGGTCACATCTGTGTACATGACATATCCAGATAAGATCTTTAAATGTATAATAACATCATGCAGTTTTTCTTTGAATCAATTACATTACCTAGGTAATTGTCCATGTATAGAAAAAGCAAAAAGAGCACTGTCAAATATAGAAAGTTAAATGACCAATGCCAAACTAAATTCATATTCAGGACGACAATATGTTAATATATGAATATAAATATATGAATCCTGCTTTGGTCTAGACTGACACACTTAGCAGAATTTTTACCTGCTATTTCTCAAGGAAGACATGTCACATTACCTGGACACACCTGTCTGACCATTATTTGCTCTTACTTGTAAGGTTGGTGCTATGAGGAGAAGCATTAAATACCAATTTCAAGTCTTTGGTTTGACCTGGGACATACCCACATGGGGTTGGATGCAACAACATCCCACACTTGATGTGAGAACACTACCACCAGACCACCAATGTGGTTACTGTGCTTCAGAATGCCCGATTGTTGTCATGTTATTCAATAGGCTACACCAATTGAGTGCTAACAGTGCTTTCTTTCTACCTGTATGTCAGACAAAGAAAATTAAATGAACTGTTGTTTGCCAGGGAAACAAAAATATAGCAAGGGACAAAAGATTTAAAAATTCCAACAGGGACATAGATCGATCAGATATTTGATTGGGTACTCTATTCTTTAGAATTTTGAACAAAAATAACAAAAAAGATAAATTACGTAACAATAATTTATCAATTAATGAAATGACGCACTCAGCAGTGGTTAGAAGGGAATGCACAGTTTTCACGTGTAATTGGGTTCACCTTTGCATGAAATGGGTTTTTTTTCAACACTTATTGACAAATGGATTAAGTTTTTGTTGTTTTTATTGCGTAATCACTCAAATATGCAGCTTTAATATCTGGAGCTCTGCAATAATGTTGAGGTACTGTAATATCTATAAATATTTCTAGTCAGCACATTGATTCCAATTTTTAGGCTTTGTAACTTTTTGGAAAAATTCAATATTTTGTTTTATACAATAAATTTGAATGATGACATTTTAAATAAATAAATTATTCTTTGAGATGAAGATCCACAGACTTTGGATTTGTTCCAACCTGCTCAAATTAAACCTTCAATGGAAAGAATTTACTATCCCTGTGATCCAATTTTAAAAATAAAAAAATAAAGTCATTCTACAGTGCTAATGGAAGGCAGTGGAAGGCAAAGGTTAACATTGAAAACTGAGAGTGGACCTCAACTCATTTGAAATCATTTCTCTTAAACATTGTTAAATTTAAAGCAAATATATTATTAAATTGATTATCAAATATAATTTTTTGAAATATTTATACTGACCAACAATTTCAATTTACCGTAGAAAGGCTTGTATAGTTCGCAGTGGTACATAGTCCGCACCCCCTTCTCCCCACGAAATTTTAGGTAAAAAAACTTTTTGTAACTGTTAGAAAAGGTCTAATGAAACTCCGGTAATTTCAAATCCTGTGCGGTCGTTTGCGGTATTTTCTTGGATAACCCTGTTTTCCATCATCAAACAGAAGCTGAAACTGCTTGTAAATGATTCTAGAACGCTTCATGATTGTTAAAATAAGTTTAATTCACTTAAAAAACAATTTAGAAACTTGTGTATGTTTAAACAGGAAGTTTAAAAAGCACGTGTAAAAGAAGAAATTAACCGGTGAGAGTCGAAATCCGTACATAACAGATATCACTATAATACGACTTTGAAAGTAAAACAGTTCCATCCTTTTGTAAAACAGTCTTTAATATATCTATCATATTAATGTTTGAAGGGTCTTAAGCTAATACAAACCATATTAGTCAGTATGAAACACCAAAACGGAACGAACAATGACCGATTACGTTTTGTAGTTTACAAATTCTAAGCTGGTTTACGGTTGTCTTTTTCACTATGTTTGTATCGTTTCAATCAAGCAGATACCAGTTTATTTCAACCAATGCATTGAAAAGAAACGAGAAATTTGTAATGAAAGGTTTAGTTTTTATATTTATCAGTATTAATTTGATATTGAATAGAAATAACTTATTAATATGGATGAGTTAAAATTATTAGTTTGAAAAATGATAAGAGCGCCCTCTACAATATAAATAACAAAGATGGCGGAACGTAAACAAACCACCTCGCCCGCGAAATTGAAATGTTTCTCTTATTTCTTGCTTATTGTACTCTATAGTCCGCACCCCGTCTGGAAGGTCCAATTTTGGAGAATAAAACCGCGGACTATACAAGCCTTTCTACGGTAGAGTTATTCAATTCATTTTGGTGGACTGGCAATTCTATGAAGCTTAATCCTAACCAGGAACAGTCAGAGCAGAGGCAGCATTTCTATCAAACTTTATCCTAACCAGGAACAGTCCAAATAGAATGGGCATTCCTATCTAACTTAATCCTAACAAAGAATAGTCCAAATAGAAAGAGCATTCCTATCCAACTTAATCATAACCAGGAACAAATCAAAGCAGGAGGAGCATTCCTATCCAACTTGATCGTAACCAGGAACAGTCCAAATAGGAGAGCATTCCTATACAACTTAATCCTAACCAGGAACAATCCAAACAGGAGCAGCATTCCTATCCAACTTAATCCTAACCAGGAACAGTCACTACAGGAGGAGCATTCCTATCCAACTTAATCCTAACCAAGAACAGTCAAAGCAGGAGCAGCATTCCTATCCAACATAATTCTTACCAGGAACAGTCCAAATAGGAGGAGCATTCCTATCCAACTTAATACTAGCCAGGAACAATCCAAATAGGAGCAGCATTCCTATCCAACTTGATCATAACCAGGAACAGTCCAAATAGGAGAGCATTCCTATACAACTTAATCCTAACCAGGAACAATCCAAACAGGAGCAGCATTCCTATCCAACATAATCCTAACCAAGAACAGTCAAAGCAGGAGGAGCATTCATACCCAACTTTTTCATAACCAGGAACAATCCAAACAGGAGCAGCATTCCTATCCAACTTAATCCTAACCAAGAACAGTTAAAGTAGGAGCAGCATTCCTATATAACATAATTCTTACCAGGAACAATCCAAACATAGGCAGCATTCCTATCCAACTTAATCCTAACCAGGAACAGTCAAAGTAGGAGAAGCATTCATATCAAACTTAATCATAACCAGGAACAATCCAAACAGGAGCAGCATGCCTTTCCACTTAATCCTAACCAAGAACAGTCAAAGCAGGAGGAGTATTCCTATCCAACTTAATCCTAACCAGGAACAGACCAAATAGGAAGAGCATTCCTATCCAACTAAATCCTAACCAGAAAAGTCCAAGCATGAGGAGCATTTTTATCCAACTTAATCCTAACAAGGAACAGTCCAAATAGGAGGAACATCCCTATCCAACTTATCCATAACCAGGAACAGTCATAGCCGGATGAGCGTTCCTATCAAACTTAATACTAACCAGGAACAGTCCAAGCAGGAGCAGCATTCCTATCCAACTTAATCCTAACCAGGAACAGTCCAAGCAGGAGGAGCATTCCTATCCAACTTAATCCTAACCAGGAACAGTCCAAACGGGAGCAGCATTCTTATCCAACTTAATCCTAACCAGGAACAGTCAGAGCAGGAGGAGCATTCCTATCCAACTTTATCTTAACCAGGAACAGTTCAAGCAGGAGGAGCATTCCTATCAAACCTAATACCAACTAGGAACGGTTTAAGCAGGAGCAGTATCCTATCCAACTTAATCCTAACTAGGAACAGTTCAAACAGGAGGAGCATTCCTATCCAACTTGATCCTAACCAGGAACAGTCCAAATAGGAGGAGCATTCCTATCCAACTTAATCCTAACCAAGAACAGTCATAGCAAGAGGAGCATTCCTATCCAACTTAATCCTAACCAAGAACAGTCATAGCAGGAGGAGCATTCCTATCCAACTTAATCCTAACCAGGAACAGTTCAAGCAGGAGGAGCATTCCTATCCAACTTAATCCTTAACAGGAACAGTCATAGCAGGAGGAGCATTCCTAGCCAACTTGATCCTTACCAGGAACAATCCAAATAGGAGCAGCATTCCTATCTTACTTAATCCTAACAAGGAACAGTCCAAGCAGGAGGAGCATTCCTATCCAACTTTATCTTAACCAGGAACAGTTCAAGCAGGAGGAGCATTCCTATCAAACCTAATACTAACTAGGAACAGTTCAAGCAGGAGCAGTATCCTATTCAATTTAATCCTAACAAGGAACAGTCAAAGCAGGAGGAGCATTCCTATCCAGCTTAATCCTAACCAGGAACAATCCAAATAGGAGCAGCATTCCTATCTAACTTAATCCTAACCAGGAACAGTCATAACAGGAGGAGCATTCCTATCCAACTTAATCCTAACCAAGAACAGTCGAAACAGGAGCAGCATTCCTATCCAACTTAATCTTTACCAGGAACAGTCCAGATAGGAAGAGCATTCCTTTCCAACTAAATCCTAACCAGAAACAGTCCAAGCAGGAGGAGCATTTTTTCCAACTAAATCCTAACAAGGAACAGTCCAGAAAGGAGGAGCATTCCTTTCCAAATTAATCCTAAACAAGAACAGTCAGAGCCAGAGGAGTGTCCTATCAAACTAAATACTAACCAAGAACAGTCCAAGCAGGAGGAGCATTCCTACTAAACTAATAAATTGCTTCGCCGAGCACAGCTGGATACGACAGCAGAGGTCCAACCCTGAACAGTTTGGGCCCCTTTTTGGCCCCTTATTCCTAAATTGTTAAGACTATAACCCCCAAAATCAATCCCAACCTTCCCTTTGTGGTTATAAACCTTGTGTTTAAAATTTCATAAATTTCTATCTACATTTACTAAAGTTATTGTCCGGAAACCAAATATCTATGGACGACGCTGACGACGACATGATACCAATATACGACCGCAAAATATTTTGCTGTCGTATAAAAACTAACCAGGAACAGTCTAAGCAGGAGCAGAATTCCTATCCAACTTAATCCTAACCAGGAACAGTCCAAGCAGGAGGAGCATTCCTATCCAACTTAATCCTAACCAAGAACAGTCACAGTAGGAGATGCATTTCCATCAAACTTAATTCTAACCAAGAAAAGTCCAAAAAGGAGAAGCGTTCCTTTCCAACTTAATCCTAACAAGGAACAGTTCAAGCAGGAGGAGCATTCCTATCAAACAATCCTAACTAGGAACAGTCCAAGCAGGAGGAGCAGTTCTATCAAACTTTAACCTAACAAGGAACACTCCTAGCAGGAGAATTAATCGAAAATTAAATTGTGCAGAAGCATGGCTCTAAGATACCAAGAGCCATAATTCTCATTTAGGTAAATCCACAAGCATGAAAATAGCTTGTGCAACATAAGCTTCATTGCCAGGAGCTCTAATCATACATAAACTGCAGAAGCTTAATCTGACATCCAGTTAAACTTGACAAAAGTCAAGAATATGATAATGTTGGCTACCTGTAATATGTTGCTGTTGTTGAGCATATAATTCTGCCTCACTTTCTGCAGTCACCTCCTCGCCATGTGCTGTCCGTTTATGCATGGCTAGAGTGGATGTCTGTCGATATGTTTTACCACATCTATTACATATGTAAGGTTTAGAGTGAGTATGTACTACATGGTGTTTATATAGACTTGAATATTCAGTAAACTTCTTCCCACAACCTGCTACTGTACAAACATAAGGCTTCTCCCCTGTGAAAAAACATGGCAGGTATAAGGCTGTATCAAATATTCAAAATTATAAACAATAGGGAGATCTTGGCATGTATCAAGTGGAAATATGGTTCATACTATCAAGGGCAAATATTATTACACATTTGAAAACTCTGTATGAGCAAATATATTTTTTTGATTTGAGTTTGTAAAATTTGAAACTGGATATCTAATTTTATATGACTTTGATAATCTATGTTGATATCATGGTTGGGCCAATAACCTAGGAACAGTAAGACTAAGCTCTATATAGAAAACTGATGGAGTGTAATAATGGGCTATACAGCTTGGAGCTCTGATTATAACACCACAACCTACCTCAGAATAAACATATAGAATATGGCATTGTTTGTTTTTGATAATGAATTTATCAGCACCAATATCAAGCAAGCCTGCTAGGACGAACTGATAAAGTCAGTATCAAAAACAAAAATTCTAATATTCTTTTTATTGGAAATTTGTCTTTAACTATATGTTTCTTGTGGTAGAATAATAAATTACATGCAGTAATTTTTTTGTATACAAAACATTGTGATAGTTGTTTGTTTGTATGAGTGACATCACAAACATTTCATTGATAAATTTATGTGGATGGACATAAAAAAAGTCACATTCTGCATTGTTCATGACAACACTGTCAAATATTTTGGAGTATCACATCTTATCCTTTATCTAATTAAATATTAGGCAGTATGATCAAAGGGAAAATGTTCAAATAATCCATAAATGATCATATCTCCTTTTAAAATTACCTGTATGTATTCTGATATGATTTTTATAATTTGTAGCACTAGCGAAAGCACGACCACACCCTTCCTCAGTACACACATACGGTCGTTCTCCAGTATGTGTTCTTATGTGGACTTTTCTGATGTTTGAAGTTGTAAATGATCTATCACAGCCTTCGAAAGGACATTTAAATGGTCTTTCTCCTAAAATACATAACATTTACATTTGAATCCAAAAAAAAGACATTTAAATGGTCTCTCTCCTAAAACACATAGCATTACTCTCCTAAAACAATTAACATTAACATTTCAACCTATCAAAAATATAATGTGATGGTCTCTCTCCTCAAACTAATTGGTGCCCCACATCTCCTTTTATTCATAATGTTCATACAAGTTTAAATTGTCTTTCTCCTGACACATTTAAAAAGTGACATATTAATTTAAAAGGGCTTTTGAATGAAACATTGATTTTTTTTTTAATTAGGAACTTGAAACAGAACCACAACTGCTGTCTTTAAGATTTTCAGCCTATGACATTTGTTTTAAAAAGCATAGTAAAAAGGAAAATATTTGTGCCATGTCTTTGTTGTTTTGTTTTTTATTTTTCGTCTTTTCTGACTTGATCTAAATTTATGCAATTTTTAATTTGCCTTCGACAAATATTATCACACATTTACATTACTGCAATTACTATACTGTTAAACTGTAAGTAAGAAAATGATTTTTATCCTTGCATGTTGACTTTCAATTAATTTGAACATTTATAAAATAACCTGTGTGTATAATCAACATTAACCATTGTTAACTGGGTTTTTTTTTCAATCACTGCAGTAGATCTAAATCATAAGTTACATGTTTTATGATTTTCTTTGTAGAGTTTCATTTTATTATTATGTAATATTTCACCAGAATTTTCTTTTTAGGTTTAACAATTTGTAATATGGCTTGATAACAACTCTTGTTATTTAATTTCAATAATAATAATAAACTTGGCAAAGGCTGATTTATTACTGTGGACTCATCTATTTTTGAGTGTACCAATCTTCTGATGATTGATACAAAATTGTATATTGATAGATATTGGCAACCATGATTTATACCTGTATGGGTTCTAACATGTTTCTGTAAATCTCCAGATGTTTTAAATGCTTTATCACAGTCTTTCTCTGGACATTTATAAGGTTTTTCTCCAGTATGGACTCTTGTGTGACTTTTGAGACCATATCCAGTAGCAAAAGCTTTACCACATCCTGATATTTCACATTTAAATGGTCGATCTCCAGTATGCGACCTCTCGTGCACCTAAAAATAAACAAGAGGCTCATGAGAGCCTGATATCGCTCACCTGTAATTTCAATTTCAGGCATTTGACTTATTTGTAGATCTTACTTTGCTGAACAATTTTGTCATTTACACTTTCTCTCTTTCTATAATAATATTAAAGATAATACATAACCCAAAACTGTAAAATTTCCTAGAAATTAACTATTTCTGGACAGTAACCCAACAATAAGTTGTCCTATTGGTATGAAGATTACTTAACAGGTAGATCTTAACCTATTTAACACTTTCACCTATGTCAGTTTTGCTCTTACTGCTTTAGTTTTTGAGATGAAAGCCAAAATCTTCATTTGACCCCTATGTTTTTAAATGGATCAAATCCCCGAATAACATTTATAAACTAGATACCTTAAGGAACAATCAATTAAAGTTTTTAAGTATTTGGCCAAGTAGTTTCAGAGAAAAAGATTTTTGAAAAAGTAATTAGACTTTCACAAAAAATGTAAAAAAAAAACGTTTTAAGGGCAATAACTCCTTAAGGGGTGAATTGACTATTTTGATCACATTGACTTATTTGGAGATCTTACTTAGCTGAACATTTATTGCCATTTATACTTTCTCTCTATCTATTATAATACAAAAGAAAATAACCAAAAACAGTAAAATTTAATACTATTTCCAACAGTAACCCAACAATGGCTTGTCGAACTTGTCTGAAAATTTCATAATAGATAGATCCTGACCCATTTATCACTTCAACTCTCTTTCACTTTTGCTCTAACTGCTTTGGTTTTTGAGATATAAGCCAAAAACTGCTTTTGTCCCCTATGTTCTATTTTTAGCCATGGCGGCCATGTTTGTGGATGGATCAAAAGATTGGATACAATTTATAAACTAGATACCCTAAGGAACATTCAATTAAAGTTTGAATGTATTTGGCCTGGTAGTTTCAGAGGAGAAGATTCCTGAAATAGTTAGGCTCTGGTATAACGTCAAATAATTCAAGAGAAATCCAACTGGGTGGGAGGGCATTTTGATTGAAATATGATGGGTGGTCATTATTTAAGAATCATAGTCTGACCAAATATGGAAAATACTCAAACTTTATGAATGGCAGGGTAAAATAACTAGAGGCTCTAAACATTTTGCTTAAGAACCTGTGTTTCTTAGAATTTATGACAAAAACCTTTTTTTTTTGTTTATCTTGTATTGCTGATCATTTTTTCTGTTTACAGTTACTCTCTATTTTCTTTAGCATGTTAAGTCTTTCTCTACACTGAGGCTGACTCCCATACTGACCTTACCTCAGCAACTTCCTTTCAATTTTAATAAGCCTCAGTGAAAGTTGGGATAAGATAATTATATGTTCCAAATTGTTTACGACATCTTAATGTCAATTTAAAAAGCTAAACTTATTTGTAGATCTTGTCTCACTGATAATTTTTGCTATTCAAGTTTCTATCTATCTATTGTAGTTTTTCAGATATTATGCAAAAAACGCAAAAAATGGTAAAACTCATTATTCAAGGGCAATAATTCCATTAAGGGGTCATCAGACGATTTTAAGAGTATATGCTAATTTGTAGATCTTGTCTTGCTGATAATTTTTGCTTATTTCAGTTTTATCGATCTATTATAGTTTTTCAGATATGAAAAAAAACGCAAAAAATTGTCATTAAAGAGAAATAACTCAAATAAGGAGTCGTCTGACGATTTTGACAATGCAAACTTATTTGTAGATCTTGTCTTGCTGATCATTTTTGGTTTTTGTAAAAGTTAACAACGACGCCTAAAAAGTGTTGAGAAAAGCTCACATGGCCTTTTAGGCCAGGTGAGCTAAAAAGTGCCTTCCTACACTCCCATACTGCCCTAACCTCAGCAACTTCCTTTCAATTTTAATAAGCCTCAGTGAAAATTGGGATAAGATAATTATATGATCCAAATTGTTTATGACATCTTAATGTACAGTAATACCCAGTTAAACCTATTTAGATTCATTTCAGGGGAAACCAAAAAGTATACTATAAAGGGAAGTCTGCTGTGTCTATTATACATAAGGTTACTTGTACATAAATGTTAAATCAGTTTCCATTACATTTTATCAACTATTAGTAAAATCGGTTACCATCAAATCTTATTAACTGTTAGTAAAATTAGTTACCATTAAATCTTATTAACTGTTAGTAAAATCGGTTACCATTAAATCTTATTAACTGTTCGTAAAATTGGTTACCATTAAATCTTAATAACTGTTAGTAAAATTGGTTACCATTAAATCTTATTAACTGTTAGTAAAATTGGTTACCATTAAATCTTATTAACTGTTAGTAAAATTGGTTACCATTAAATCTTATTAACTGTTAGTAGAATTGGTTACCATTAAATCTTATTAACTGTAAGTAAAATTGGTTACCATTAAATCTTATTAACTGTTAGTAAAATTGGTTACCATAAAATCTTATTAACAGGTAGTTTTGGAATATAAAAGAAGGCTAACCACAATAAACATACCTTTAGATGGTGCTGAGTTGTAAACAATCTACCACATCCATCAAAATTACATCTGAAAGCTCTCTCTCCAATATTACTCATGAACTTTTCTGACAAGGTTTTCTCTGCTCCCATACCAGCTGTGATTACTGTCTAAAACAGAAAATGTAAAGAAATATTCACTTCAGAAATGAACAGATGTACTTGCAAGCACATGATACACACTTGTCAGATGTAAAATAATCCTTTATTTTATTATTAACAAAAGAAATTCAATTTGTCACAATCTTTACATAATTTAATAGTTCATGAGAGAATGAAATGGAAACAAACTTAGCATATGAAACCTGAACAAGAACGACACACTGTCATATCTCACCTGCCTTACTGATACTTTCAAGATATTATTCAGTCATCATGACAGAATTTAATCTTAAAAGTCTTTAATATCAAGGGGTTACAGGCTTTGCATGTGTAATACACACATTTTCAACTGTTTACATATGCTATTTTTATCACATGCCAGTAAAAGCATTTAATTGGCAGAGGTCAATTTCTGGACCAACAGCAAGAAGATGAGGTACCTTTGTACCTATCAAAATGTCTGGAAATGGAAGTTGAATATCAATAAAAGAAAGTGATCGTAGACTGAATAATGATGAGAAGACTGAGGCACTCTTTTCAAACATTTGTTGCAAAACATAATTTTCCTAACCAATCAGATACTGCACATGTCATGAATATGCATGAAAGTAAAAAAAGTAAGGGTTGTTAACTGTATTCAAAATTTTTAGAAAAAAAATCTTTTTAAAATCAAGGGCAGATAATTATATTGAATTTGATAGGACAACTTTAATTTTTCTTATTTTTTTAGAAAACAAGGCCTGTGACCCCTATTTCTATTTTATATTTTGGAAGTATTTGTGAAAAGTAGATCTCTCCATGAATTTTAACTTATTCTATCGTTCAATGTTTCCTCAACAAGGAAAAAATAAGTTTCCACTACAAAACCCATATAAAAAACTGAATTCATTAATTTCAATGTATTTTATTGAAAAAACAAGGTCCGTGACCCTCAGTTTATATATTGAAATTTGAAAGTACACTGACCCAGAAATCTTTTACAGAAGTTTAAGAAAAATATGTCGTCAAACATTTAGACACCCCAGCTACCTTAACATGTTTTACACACATTTTGGCATGTCATGTCATATCATGGCATGAGATGATTTCTCATTGCCAGAGGTTGGCAACTATGGAGACGAACCTGAAAAGTAATTTTGACCAATAAAACATAACTAAAGGCTCTAAAGAGTGTGTCGCTCACCTGCATCTTCAACAATGACCACTTTTTAGTGAAAAACATCATTAAAGGGGAATAACTATATAAGAGTTAACTGACAATTTGACATATTTGTAGATCTTATCCTGCTGATAATTTTCCTTTTTAAAGTTTCTATCTATCTATTATAGTTCTAAAGATAATTGGAAAAAAATGCACAAAAATGTTACATAATAACATACAGGGCGATAACTCCAATAACGAGTTGACTGAAGATTTAGGCCATTATGGTTTATTGTGGATCTTGTCTTGCTGATCATTTGTGCTATTTTCTGTGCTATTTCAAGTTTCTAACTATCTATTACAGTTTTCAAGATTTAGGGAAAATAGGATCGTCATTAAAGGGCATTAACTTAAAATAAGAAGTCAACTAACAATTTCAGTCATTTTGACTTATCTTTAAATCTTGTCTTGCTGATAATTTTTGCTATTTAAAGTTTTTATCTATCTAACATAGTTTTTAAGATATTAGGCAAAAATGCAAAAATTGGTGAAAAGCGACATTATAGGACAATAACTCTAATAAGGAGTTGACTGAAGATTTCACCTATGTTGCCTTAGTTGTAGATCTTGTCTCTGATCATTTTTGCTACTTAAAAGTTTCTGTCTGTCTATTATAATTTTCGAGATAAAAGGCAAAATATTTTAAAAAATGGTAAAATTCATCTTTCAAGGGCAATAACTCCTATTAAAAGTCGTCAGACAGTTTTGACTTAAATGAACAATAGACAGAGCTCAACATTCTGAACATTTTTAGCCTGTCAGATTCTCTCTTTTTACAGCGGTTTTCAAAATAATAGACAAAACTTGCATTTAGACCTATGTTTTATTTTTAGTCGTGTCGGTCATCTTGGTTGGCTGGCAGGGGTCATCTGACACATTTTTTAAACTAGTTACCCCAATGATGATTGTGGCCAAGTTTGGTTAAATTTGGCCCAGTAATTTCAGAGAATTTTTGTAAAATTTAACAGACGATGACAACAGACAACGATGACGGATGAAAACGGACAACGGACGCCAAGTGATGAGAAAAGCTCACTTGCCCTTTTAGGACAGGTGAGCTAAAAATGAGGTCAAGGCTAGATGAACCCTGCCATACAGGCATGTACACCTTACAATCATTCTATACACTAAATATAACAGTCTATAAGTTAATCATACCTGAGAAAATGACCTTATCACGAAAAAATTAATATTGACCAATGAACCATGAAAATGAGGTCAAGGTCAGATGAATGCTGCCTGCAGGTCATGATATACAACGTTTGATTATTCTTTACAGCATTTATAGTCCTGTTTCTTAAATTCTGTCAAAGAAAAAGACCTTAAGTATGAAATGAGCTCAAGAGCAGATGTACCCCCTCTGACAGACATGTAAACCTTACAATGATTCTATATACCAAATTTTCCTGAATTCCTTCATGTATAATCCACAGATTTTTTACTAAAAAATTCAAACTGACAGCAAAAAATATGAGAAAATGTCCATTCCAAAATTTTGACAAACACAATATATCTCCCAAAAAATATAAGGACATACTAAATAATGTATTGTGAGAAAATTGAAGGAACTGAAAATGTGTCACATGGTATAGGATAAAGAGAAATAGCAAGTGTCTCAGGCTAACTGTGAATAAAGTGCTTCACTGAGCGCAGCTGGATACGACTGCAGAGGTCCAACCCTGAACTGTTTGGGCAAAAATGGACACAATATTCGCGCTTGATAACGGTCTGAATTTGGATTGTAATTAAATATTTGACACATAATAGTTTTCTGACATTGAATAACTGTAGTCAAAGAACTTAGAATTGGTTATATGATTTGAATTTATATTCATTTTTTTATTTTTGTGCAATACACTATGCTGTTGCGAAATTTTGACCCCCCCCCCCCCCCCCCCAATAAAAAAAAATTTACCCCCCTTTATTTTTGCTTTTGTGAAATACACAATGCTGTTGGGTATTGACCCCCCCCCAAAAAAAAAATGTTTAAACCCCCCCCTTTTTTTGCAAAAAGAAATAATATTTGAAGAAATTTTCTTTTTAATTTCTGAAATCTGAAATGAAAAAAAAAGCCCACACAATTTCTTTTTTACCCACCTCCCCCTAAATTTATTTTTCACCTCCCCCCTCCCTTTTCCAAAAAAAACACCAATTCTTTCCCTCAAGAGATGGTCATAATCTCAATTAAAATTTCCAATGGAGTTTGCAACCATAATTACCAATTTAAATACATCATAAAAGTCTTAAAATAGAAAAAAAAAATCCCCCCCAAATTTTTTGAACCCCCTTATGATTCATCACCCCCACACTCAATCCCAGCCTTCCCTTTGTGGTATGGTACCTTGCAGTACAATTTCAGAGAGCCAAATTCCTAACTTTAAGGCAATTACCCCCAAACTCAAACCCAGCTTTCCCTTTGTGATATGGAACCTTGTAGTACAATTTCATAAAGATCCATACACTTACACAAAAGTTATTGTCCTGAAACTAGAAAAATGTTGTTTTTTGCCCCTTTTTTGCCCCTAATTCCTAAAATTTTGAGGCAATTACCCCCTAAATCCATCCCAGCCTTCCCTTTGTGGTATGTTACCTTGCAGTACAATTTCAGAGAGATCCATACACTTGAACACAAGTTATTGTCTGGAAACTAGAAAAATGCTTATTTTTGGCCCCTTATTCCTAAACTTTTTGGGCAATTACCCCCAAACTCAATTCCAGCTTTCCCTTTGTGATATGGAACCTTGTAGTACAATTTTAGAAAGATCCATACACTTACACACAAGTTATTGTCTGGAAACTAGAAAAATGCTTGTTTTTTGCCCCTTTTTTTGCCCCTAATTCCTAAAATTTTGAGGCAATTACCCCCAAAATCAATCCCAGCCTTTCCTTTGTGATATGGAACCTTGTGGTACAATGTCAGAGAGATCCATACACTTACACACAAGTTATTGACTGGAAGTTACAAAAATGCTTATTTTTGGCCCCTAATTACTTAACTGTTGGTACCATAACCCCCAAAATCAATTCCAACCTTCCTTTTGTGGTATTGAACCTTATGGTAAAATTTCATAGAGATCCATTCACTTAAACTAAAGTTATTGTGCGAAAACCAATGTGTCTTAGGAGGACAACGACGACGCCGCCAACGTCATACCAATATACGACCGCAAAATTTGCGGTCGTATAAAAATGTGACTGAAATGTGATAGTCAGACACATGGATGGATGTATAGAGGTAAACAAGTGTATCCCAATTCTTTGGAGAAGGGATATAACTATGTACTTACTATGTGTCCTGGTAATATCTGTCCTTTAGTGAACTGTAACGATTGTAGACTGCCCTCTTGTTTGACTCCATCTGCCTGTAGTCAAAAGTGTAGAACAAGGTAAATTTATTACTATTAGGAAATTTTATGGTACCATCACAAACACTGCATTCAAATATTTTTTGTATACTGGAGTTAAATAATAGATGATAATGATCACTTCAAAAGAGGCCAGATAAAATAAATTTTAGTCTGTCTTCTAGGGATGTAAACTTAATGAAGAATGACTGAGTAATTGTTGGCTTTACCAAGCTGATTTAGTATATAGCCCACCTCTTTTCAGAGGCATTTTAAATGACAATTAAGCACAAACATTTTAAACGTATCTCTATCATGATTAATTAAAGATTACTTTCTTATTTTCCAAAAGCGTTTTCAATATAAAACAAGAGTGCACCGCTGAAATGTCTCGCCTTCTTTACTAATCATTGATATTATGTTGATAGTCCTAAATATAAAGCTTTATTACAACTGTCACATAAACTTAACATTAACCAAGTAAACTAAACATTGACCAATGAACCATGAAAATGAGGTCAAGGTCAGATGAACCATGCTAGGCAGGCATGTACAGCTAACAATTCTTCCATACTACAAATTTAACTGACCTATTGCTTATAGTTTAAGAAAAACAGACCAAAACACAAAAACTTAACACTAAGCAATGAACCTTGAAAATGAGGTCAAGGTCACATAAAACCTGCGTGACTGACATTTAGATCATAAAATATTTTCATACACCAAATATAGCTGAACTATTGCATATAGTATTAGAAAAACAGACCAAAACACAAAAACTAAACTTTGACCACTGAACCATGAAAATGAGGTCAAGGTCAGATGACACCTGCCAGCTAGACATGTACACCTTACAATCATTCCATACACCAAATATAGTAGACCTATTGCATACAATACAGGAAAAACAAACCAAAACACAAAAACTTAACTATAACCACTGAACCATGAAAATGAGGTCAAGGTCAGATGACACCTGCCAGCTAGACATGTTCACCTTACAATCATTCCATACACCAAATATAGTAGACCTATTGCATACAGTATAAGAAAAACAGACCAAAACACAAAAACTTAACTATAACCACTGAACCATGAAAATGAGGTCAAGGTCAGATGACACCTGCCAGTTGGACATGTACACCTTACAGTCCTTCCATACACCGAATATACGAGACCTATTGCTTATAGTATATGAGATATGGACTTGACCACGAAAACTTAACCTTGTTCACTGATCCATGAAATGAGGTCGAGGTCAAATGAAAACTGTATGACGGTCATCAGGACCTTGTTAGGTACGCACATACCAAATATAGTTATCCTATTACTTATAATAAGAGAGAATTTAACATTACAAAAAATCTTAACTTTTTTTCAATTAGTCACTGAACCATGAAAATGAGGTCAAGGACATTGGACATGTGACTGACTGAAACTTCGTAACATGAGGCATCCATATACAAAGTATGAAGCATCCAGCTCTTCCACCTTCTAAAATATAAAGCTTTAAAGAAGTTAGCTAACGCCGCCGCCGGATCACTATCCCTATGTCGAGCTTTCTGCGACAGGCTCGACAAAAAAACAGGAAATTTTAAATCAGTAAAAATCCTATCAGTACCAAAGCACTAACTGCTGAGCTGGTGATATCCTCTGAAACTCACAGTCAACCAACAGCAGTATTGATACAGTACTAGTGAATTAAATAAATATTGAATAACTTTAAAGCATCTGAAAAAATTTTTATGACCTGTATCCGGAACGCTCAAACCTGAACATTTAAAATTGAGGGATGCATTCTAAATAAGTATATGTTACTTAAACCATGTCAGTACCGAAGCACTTACTACTGAGATGATGATAGCCTCTAGGACTTAACAGTCCTACAGCAGTGGTATCACTAGTAAATAAAATAAAAACTTTGTAAATTTTGTGCATCCGAAGAGTTGTAAGAAGGTGACCTTCAGAGATTTATTGTTTCCAAGAGTTTGTTGAGTTGCTGTCATATCAATGTTTACCTTTTGTTTCCATAGGTTCTTATTCGGTAATGAATCTTTCTTTAAGTCAGCTATCAAGCAAAGCAATTGTACATATAAAATTTAACACTTCTGACATATCATTAGCATTCAGAGATTCTAGAGGTTACAGTATTCAAAACTTTGTTCTGATATTACCTGTGAGGTGAACTGTTCCAGGTTGATAGCTGATGCATCAAGGGCAGTATCCCCAAACAATGAAATAGCTGATGGATGTGTTATATAAGCTGTTGTGCCATCTTCTAGTTGTAATGCTTGTATGTTAGTGCCATCTAAAAACAAAGCAACCAGATTATAATTCTCAGAAAAATATAATTTGACAACAGTAGACTGATTATCTGACTTTGAATGTTACAGTAGATTAATTATCAAAATTTTTATGGATTTCAGGACTATTCCAGAAAATAAGATGGAAGGGTTGTTATCATGCATTTCCTCTTGAAACCATTATAAATGGAGTTTTAATCCAAACCTATTTGGACTATGTATATATACCAATAAATAGTACCATTGCATATGAATTCATGATAAAGAGTGCCCTAAAATTTTTCCATAACTGTTTTCTAGATTGATCATGAAGTTAGCAGGGTTTCAATAGGACACAGTGTAACAATATGGAAATAAAGGTCCTGGACTCTGTGCTTATATTTTCACATGTTTTTTTCCACATTTTAGCAAAAGTCTAAAATAATTGTTATATACTTGACTTTCATTTAAAATGGAAGGTCTCTACAAAAGATCAAAGGATCATGGGATTACACATTCATTCTTCACATGTGACGTACAAAATTAAAGCTTTCAACAAGCCACATTTATTTGGTTTTATCTGTTTGTAGTAACATACAATATTATGATATCATGTTCTGTACAAATAAATGTGGATAGTGTCCACATGTGGACACAGATGATGCCCCCGCTTGCATATCATATAGTTATAAAGGGACATAACTGAAGAATGGTAAAAGTGACGGTACCCAAATTTGAACTTGATCTGAGTTTTGTGGTAATAAGCAATTGTGTGTATGTCTCACAACATTTGGTTGAGGATAACTTAAGTAGAGAACAGAAACTAAAAATTCAGCAATTTTTCTATTTGTAAACACGCATAACTCTAGAACAGTTGTGTATAAGTTTTATAACATTTGGTTGAGACAAACTAAAGTTAGAGAACGGAAACAAAATATTCAGCAATTTTTATGTTTATAAAGGAACATAACTCAAGAACGGTAAAAGTGTCGCCACCAAATTTCGTACTTGATCTGTGTTTTGTGGTAATGAATATTATGTATAGGTTTCATAATGTTTGGTTGGGGCAAACTTAAGTTACAGAATGGAAACTAAAAATTTTGCAATCTTTCAATTTATAAAGGGGCATAACTCAATAATGATTAAAGTGACACTACCCAAATTCAACTTGATCTGTGTTTTATCACTATCAGTGGAAGTCAAAATTAAACATTGCATTGTATAAAGCATTGATTGTAGTTGATTCAACTATAACCATGGACAAAGGAAGATAACTCCAATTTTAAAAATTACTTGATATTTAGAAGAAAATAAAAATTTTGCAATTTTTCCATTTATAAAGGGGCATAACTCTAGAACGGTAAAAGTGACGCCACCAAAATTCAAACTTGATCTGTGTTTTGTGGTAATAAGCATTGTATATAAGTTCAATAACATTTGGTTGAGGCAAACTTAAGTTAGAGAATGGAAACTAAAAATTTTGCAATTTTTCCATTTATAAAGGGGCATAACTCTAGAACGGTAAAAGTGACGCCACCAAAATTCAAACTTGATCTGTGTTTTGTGGTAATAAGCATTTTGTATAAGTTTCATAACATTTGGTTGAGGCAAACGTAAGTTAGAGAACGGAAACTAAATATTTTGCAATTTTTCCATTTATAAAGGGGCATAACTCTAGAACGGTTAAAGTGACGCCACCAAAATTCAAAATGATCTGTGTTTTGTAGTAATAAGCATTGTGTATAAGTTTCATAACATTTGGTTGAGGCAAACTTAAGTTAGAGTACAGAAACTAAAATATTTGGCAATTTTTCCATTTAAAAGGGGCATAACTCTAGAATGGTTAAAGTGACGCCACCAAAATTCAAACTTGATCTGTGTTCTGTGGTAATAAGCCTTGTGTATAAGTTTCATAACATTTGGTTGAGGCAAACTAAAGTTAGAGAACGTAAACCAACTTTGGGACGTACGTAATTCATTAATTGTGTGGTAATAAATCAGGATGATAGTTTCTCATTTAAATTATGTCATATTATGTCATGCCGGGTCTTAGGCCTACATGTTTACAGTTTAACTAAAAACAAACTAAGTCCATTTATTAGTAAAATACGGAAAATGAAAATAAATATTTTCAAAAAATTTGCTCTGGATACTATATTTTGGTCATAAAAAAGCTTCTATCCAAATTTCATAAAATTGCTTGAAGGTTTGACAAAGTTATTGATGTCCCAAAAAACTTTAATCACAGACTGAACCTAAATGTTGACGCTGATGACGGAATCTAGGTTCACTATGTCTCACTTTTGGCGACATAAATGTCGCAGGCTCAACAAAAATGTCTTTGGATAAATCATTGTGCTGTTCCAACATTTAAATCTACATACCAATAATATTATTCATGTTATTGATTCAATGTGATTTACACTAACACATTTATGGCTTATGTGTTTTTCTGTACTCTGCTTTCACATTAAAACCAGGTTTAATCCACCATTTTCTACATAAGAAAATGCCTGTACAGTACAGTACTAAGTCAAGAATATGACAGTTGTTTTCCATTCGTTTGATCTTTTGATTTTGCCATTTGATAAAGGACTTTCTGTTTTGAATTTTCCTTGGAGTTCAGTATTTTTGTTATCTTAATTTTTATTCTAGAGGTATGTTTCAGTTCCTATGTTATCTTTAATTGTTCTACTGGATTGTTTCCTTGTGAATAATAAGGACAAAATTCAAAATGACATGGTTTCTGTAATACCTAATTGACCCTTTAAATAAAATGTTTATCAATTTTTTTTAAATCCAGGCTCTGTCTTACCTTTCAAAATCAGATCCATTTTCAACTATATTATACCCATGAGAAACCTCAAAAAACAGAAAAAAAGAACCTTAGTTCAGAGGAGTTGATTTTTTTGTCTGAAGTTTTATGTACTGTTTTATAGGTGACTGCTGGCCTGTCTATTTTAACTGGGTTGTGTAATCGTGAGTTTTCCTTCAGTTTCTTGTTGCATTACTGTTATATGTGTTCTTACCTTGACCTTGTTTAAGAAGACATCTTTCAAATGATTATGAATAAATTCTTTCATAGTTTTTCTTTTCTAATTTTACCTTTGACTGTATTTTGAATGTATGCTGTTGTTCCATCCTCAAGCTGGATAGAGTGGTCTCCCTGAACAGAATTCTCCAATGTTGAGGTATTCTCATGTAGAATTGTATCTGCTTCATTTGACATGGATGATGGGTGAACTGATAAGTTAGTAACTGTAACAGAAAGTCAGGCTAGATTCATATTTATATGATATATGATATTCACATGCTAAAGTGATAGCTTTCCAAATATCAATATCAATCGTAAGTCATTTTTCATATTAAGTACATCTTTAGAATCAGAAAGCACCGATGAAAGTAAAACCTCATGTCACTATAGCACAACTCATGGAAAAAGGAGGCAGGACCTGCTGTGTATATTTTAACATATATCCTTCATCTTTAGCATTTGAAAGTAAACATGTAATATGAATTTGCCCAGTGTGCAATAACAATTAACCTTTCCAAAGCATGCTAAACAAATAAATACCTTGAACAACTGCTGTAGTACCATCCTCTAATGTAATGGTCTGTCCTTCCAAAAATTTTCCTCCTGGTGAATAAAATTATCTAAATATGTGTCATATAATGTGTGTGTTTATTAAGACTGATACAGTTGCACAAAAGAAGCATCACAAGCCTTCCAGTTTCTTATAAGGAAGCTTTTAATTCTAATTTTGTGAAAAGGGATTTTCAATATACTTTATATAGGGTCCTGCAAATCAATGGCAGGAAAAATGACAATCCTAGTCACAAGATTAGAGTCGAGTGCACCTGCCACGACCAGGATTTGAACTTACAATTTCAGTGTTGACAGACTAGTGATACAGTATTTCAACTACTTAGACCACTTGGCCACCAAGGCCCCTGGCATTAAAGAACATATGATCAAATAGGTTAAACTAAAATCAACACAATTAACCATCTTTAACTGCATGGTATTTAATTCAATCTTAGATCAAGAAAATCTTTTATAAAATTTCACCTCTTAACCCTACAAGCAATATGTGGGGTACTAAATATTCTGATCAGTTCGTATTGGTAAATTACCATTCTTTATTTACCTCCTAAGAACTTTTAATCAAATAAATGTACTCACAAATAAATGTACTAACATCGGACTTGGACTTCTCTTAAACTGAGTTTTACTGTGCGTACTGTTGTACGTCTGTTTTTTCTACATTGGCTAGAGGTATAGGGGGAGGGTTGAGATCTCAAAAAACATGTTTAACCCCGCCGCATTTTTGCGCCTGTCCCAAGTCAGGAGCCTCTGGCCTTTTTTAGTCTTTTATCATTTTTAATTTTAGTTTCTTGTGTATAATTTGGAGTTTAGCATGACGTCCATTATCACTGAACTAGTATACATATTTGTTAGGGGCCAGCTGAAGGACGCCTCCGGGTGCGGGAGTTTCTCGCTGCATTGAAGACCCATTGGTGGCCTTAGGCTGTTGTCTGCTCTATAGCCGGGTTGTTGTCTCTTTGACACATTCCCCATTTCCATTCTCAATTTTATCATAACTATGCTGCTCATGTTGATATAATTACTCACATCTAAGGTTTGAAAGTATTGTACTGAGACCTGACTGACCTTTTGGATGTTGTATAAAAGCTGTAGTGCCATCTGACAGAGTAACAGCCTGTACTGTCTGAGATCCATCTCCAGTTATAATGGCTGGGGGTGTTACTGAAGTGTTTAGTTGCTGTACAATATGACTTATATCCACAACAGTAGATGGAGTGTCCAAGGAAGTAGGGAAACTCATTACATTCTGAATATGCTCCATACTGGTGACCTTGGCATTGGACATATCAAGGTGATTAGACTGTTCTGACTGAAATAAAGTATCAAGGCTCTCATTATTGTATGTCCTTGCTATACATGTATATTTTGCTTTTCAACATTTGGTCAAGGTTATACTAGCAAAACTGTCCACATGTTTATTGTATTATAATAGGGTCTATGCTGTTGATGGTGGACTGCTTAGTCCCAAATATTGACAAGATACATTGATATTTTTTGTTCATAAATCATTTCATCATACTAAAAGTAAGGTTTCTCAGTAAAATCACATGGACGTTAAGCAACCAACAATCCATCAATCAGTAAAATCACATCTTAAATAATTTTAACTGTTTTTATATGCTTAGTACCTTTCTTGGTTTTCTTATGCTCTTAAGGTGTAATACCACCAAATCATAGTACGTCACATCCGGTTGCATACGAAAATAGGTCGAAAAAAAATATTCCCTTGAATTTGACAGTTGTAGGTAATTGATCCTACATTTCATTGCAGTAAAACATTTCTGAGTCATAAACATATATCTTGGGTATTTCAAAGCACCATCATTTCTTTATTTGGAGTTTCTATAGAATATTTTGGAAACTTGAGGTTACATGGTTACTAAAGCTTGTACACAGGTTAAAAAAGGGGGAAAATTTGATTGGTTAACTTCCAGTGATGGTTATTTTCTTATATGCAATGAAATGTTATGTGAAATTTTTTCTATAGTTCTGGACAGGATAAATCTTTACTCATGCCAAGTATTTCTTTATTTGAAACAAAGATAAATTCTGCACAATTTTTTGAAAAGTGCAAATTTAACAAAGACTAATAGGGGAAAATCAATGGTGGTATTACACCTTAACTGTTTGCATGTATACATGTATTTGACTATTCAAATTATGTACAAGATAACCAATGAAGATTATTCTAGAAACAGGTGCCACATGATGATGATGATGTGCACAGGAATCAGCTTCACATAGAAATAAGGATGTGGTATTATTGCCACTGAGACAACCATTCAACATATTCCAAAAGATGTAGATGTAAGCAAATATAGGTTCACCACAAAGGGCCTCAAAAAGAGCAAAACCAATATTGTAGTCTGCAATAAAAGGCCCCAACATGACAAAGTGTGAAAGAATTCTAACAACATGAGTCTGATTGAGTTATAACAAAACAATTAAGGAAAAAAAATATGACAGAAAGCAACCAAAGTCAAACCTGAACTGCAGACTCCAATAATAATAATAATAATATGATAAATACATTTAAAGAGGATGACATTATTCTGAATTGGGACAAGCGCATAAAGAATGTGGTAAAGGTTGTTTTTCAATTAATAATCCTTACAAAATCTGACAATTTTACACAGCCAGTAACCTGAAAAAAAAGCTCTGTTATTTTATTTAGCATGATAAAAACTACATTTTGGAAATTAACATTGATCACTGTGAGTTATAAGAGGTTAAGGATTAAAGACATGGACACATTACAAAATTCTATAGAGTAGTAAATTTGACATAGTACTTCAAGTAAACTGAAACTGACTTCACCATAAGCTATCTATATATATATATATAGTATAACTTATTTTTAGATAAATATTTATCTCTTTTACTTTCTGAAATTTAAAGCTTTATGTTATTACTTAACCATGTAAACTTGTTGCTACTGACCCCAAATTATGTCCCTTTGTCTAGCATTCTGTGACTTTCTTTGTAAGCAAAACAAACATATCAAGCATTATAAATTTTGATTGTGTAATGTGATGTGAACACTTTTATTCTACTATTTGTACATATATATCTACTACATTGTACTATGCAGCCTAGTAATGACAGCAGGATGAATATATTATGACGCAAAAAAAGTAAATAACCACAGAACTTACTGGCAATGTTCCTGCATTTACAACTGTTGTTCCAGCCAAACTGCTGGCAGCGATTACTGTACTGCCTGTCAAACTACCTGCATCAATGACAGAACTTACTACTAAGCTGCCTGCATCAATGACCGTACTTCCTTCAAGACTACCTGCATCAATGACTGTACTTCCTTCAAGACTACCTGCATCAATGACAGAACTTACTACCATGCTGCCTGCATCAATGACAGTACCTCCTTCCAGGTTGCCAGCATCAATGACAACACTTCCATCTAGGCTGCCTGCCTGCATAACAGTACTGCCAACGAAACTATCAACGACTGAATTTTCTGCCAAGCCATCCGTATTACTAGAAAGTTGGTCAGATGTCTGTAATGGTGGGTTAGAATCCTCCTCTGAACAATCAGTTATTTGAGTGACTTCATCATCTACAGTTAACTGGTCAGGAATTGAAGAAGGTATAGTTATTGTGTTGCTCTCCATTTAAATTTTTTTTCTTAATATTTTCTGAGAAAAGAAAGAACAGTTGTCTATACTATTAAATCAATTAAATTGTATCAGATTCTAGCATTTTAAAAAGTTACAAGTTGATCGAAAGATAATCTGGATGGGCAAGAGTAAAACTCTGATCGCAAGCTATACTTTTTGATAATTATTAATTCTATTAGTGCTGTGATTTTGCTTTGAATAAGCAATAATAATAATGGATGGTTAGTCCCAATCAAACAAACTGTGATCACTACATATACATGGGTAAATCTACTACAGTTTGTATGTCAATGTTAACATCAACATCACATAAAGAAATAAATGGGGAATGTGTCCATGGGACACAGATGATGCCCCCGCTTGCATATCATATAAAGTTATAAAGGGACATAACTGAAGAATGGTAAAAGTGATGCTACCCAAATTTGTACTTGATCTGAGTTTTGTGGTAATAAGTATTGTGTATAAGTCTCATAACATTTGGTTGAGGCTAACTTAAGTTAGAAAACAGAAACGAAAAATTCAGCAATTTTTCCATTTGTAAACAGGCATAACTCTAGAACGGTAAAAGTGACACCACCAAAACTGAAAATTGATCTGTATTTTGTGGAAATAAGCATTTGTGAATAAGTTTTATAATATTTGGTTGAGGCAAACTAAAGTTAGAGAACGGAAACGAAAAATTCAGCAATTTTTATGTTTATAAAGGGGCATAACTCAAGAACCTTTATATTGACGCCACCAAAATTCAATCTAGATCTGTATTATGTGGTAATAAGCATTTTGTATAAGTTTCATAACATTTGGTTGAGGCAAACTTAAGTTAGAGAACGGAAACGAAAAATTCAGTAATTTTTCCATTTGTAAAGGGGCATAACTCTAGATCGGTTATAGTGACGCCACCATAATTAAATCTTGATCTGTGTTTTGTGATAATAAGCATTGTGTATAAGTTTCATAGCATTTGGTTGAGGCAAACTAAAGTTAGAGAACAGAAACCACCTTTGGGACGTACGGACATACGTACAGACGTACAAGGGTAAAACTTAATGCCCCCTCCGCTACGGTGGGGGCATAAAAAGACATACAATTGAACAACAGTTAAATGATGAATGAGCAACAACCATGTATTCCCTGTAATATTTTCTTTTCTTTTTTCTAATGACCATGATGTTGTTTATGTTTATGTTTAATATGTCTATGTTTTTATTTTTTAAACTTGCTCATAACCAGAGTGGGCCAATGATGCCTGGATCCCTTTATCATGTTTATAATGTCTTGGACTCTTCATGGCTTAAAATTGAAATATTTTTTAGTTATTACAATGTCTCCCTAAAATAGACTGTCAAGCCCCCATTTCTATGCAAAATGTTTTAAAACAGTTTGGAAAATATGTTAAAGTTGTTGGTGAATAAGACAAAATCTTACAATCTATACCCTATACTCATGATACTTGAGGGTACATTAGTCATATAAATCTATTTCCTGAAATGAAAAGAAAATTGAGGTATATGTATAAAAATAAGGAGATGTGGTATTATTGCCAATGAGACAACTATATATATCCACCAAAGTTCAAATAAAGTGGATGTAAGCAATTATAGGCAACGGTACGGCCTTCAACAATGAGAAAAAACCCATACTGTATAGTCAGCTATAAAAGGCCCAAACATGAAAAATATGAAACAATTCAATTGGGAAAACAAATGGCTTAATTTATAACAAAACAATTTACGAAAACCAAATATGACAGGCGGGTGGGGAGCAAGAAGGTGAACTGTGGTTTATTTTTATCAATAGTACCGCTTAAGTTGACGCTAGGGGCCGTCTTGACCTTGTTGTAGGGTATGAATGATTCATTCATTGTTGAAGACCCTTCATCAACTGTCAAGATGAAGAACAGGAATAAAAGCCCTGTTCATTGATAATTTTCTATGTTTTCTATGTATTGTGTGCGATTTTGTCCCATGTACATTTACTCCATATCCTTTCATTTTCTAATGAACCAACGACAACCACTGAACTACAGAAGCCTGACTCTGGACAGGCACATAAAGAATGTGACGGGGTTAAACATGTTTGTGAGCGCTCAACCCTCCCCCTAACCTGGGACAGTGGTGTAACAGCACAACATGTAGTTGTTTTCAGTTTTTTTTTTTATATCTGTTAAAATGGGTTATTAATTTGCTTCACAGAAATATCCAGCTTAATTATCTCCTCTGAATTTAAGTCATTTATGCAAATGAAATACATCTTACAAATTTTTTGTTTCACAAAAAAGTAAGTTGTAGTATTTTTTTTTTTATATATCTTTAAAGAATAAAAGGAGATATATGTCAGTTACACATATGTGGACAGAAACCCAATGTCATAAACAACCAAAAGACATTTAGAGTCACCATTATGTTCAAACAGGCCTTAACAATAGACAGTTGTCTATACTATATATGTCAAGTTCATCCTATACATAATGAAACTGTTGCAAGAATAAAAAGGAAAACTGCCAAATTCCTATTGTCATGAAATAGAAAAGACTTCATAATATGTTCCAAAATGGAAAAATACTCTGCAATATTATTTCCACTGGAACAAATATTACAGTATTATCTATAATAAAGTTTCCAGGAGTACTTCAGTTATGCATAACAAATATATGTTGACACTACAATTCTCAGTAACAAAAGAGAAAATTTTCAAAATTGAAGGGCACCGTCAACAGTGGCTTACTTTTCCCAATCCCCAAAAAACAGTGTTAGGTCTTATAGCATAGATTAATTGATATTTTGGTTACCTAATGTCCAGTGGCAAATATTTCATGCATTTTCAGGTCAAGAATAAATTAACAATAAATACAATAGGTAGGTCCTGTAATAAAGGCCGTCCCAGATGAAGATCAAGATATTTTGACTGCCACTGGAAAATGAGGATATACATGTAATAAAATAAGACATGTAAGGTAGCCCTGGACAGAAATTTTGCCTTGCAACGGGCCAGCTATGGACGTCTCAAAAAATTGTTGCAAGGGTTCCTAACGTGCAGAGAGCATGGCACTTTTTCTACACAATGCATCTGATTTAGCGTCCCCATTCTGACAAGATAGTAGGATACTTGTACATCCCGCACAGCCAAACAAAAGACCCACATTAGGAAGGGTTTTACTGCTGTTTGGAAGTGACCATATTTCTATTCCCTAGTCACCCTTGGGGCTTTCACAATAAATATGTCTATAACATATCACAAGCTTTAAATTGCTTAAGTCTGAAAGAGTTTTGATCAATTGAAAAAAAGACTGTCCACGTTTTAAAAATGTTTATTGTAAACTGTTGATATTAGTTGCAGTTGTGGAGTTTTTCAAGGACAGAAAATGACTTTCACTGGGACTGGTATATGTAGTTACAATTTTGGTTCACCAGCCTTAGAATTTTATCATTTTGGCTAGTTGAATGAAAAAATCCACTTACTGATTTGGCGAGAATATAGAGAAAAAAGGTTTCCATCAGAGCAGTGTAAATAGATTCATAAGGTTTATTTGCTATTCTAATTTGGGTTTTGAAAATTGCAGTCTGCTAGTCCATGTAATGATCAGGGTTCAACATTACTTTGGGATCATGTCTTGACTTTCACTACTGTTGGTTAGTCCATGCTGTGATAAAGATATATGACTGCATATTCACAAACTAAGACCAAACTACTTTACTAGCATCAAATCCTGATCATAAAATGAGTAAGTTTATCAATGTCAAACCATGATTGGGGCCCTTGGTAGTCGAACTACTGTATCACTAGCCTGTCAACACTGAGGTTGTGAGTCAATCAATCAAACCATGATTACAATAAAGGTGGCTCCAACATGGTTAATTCTGACCTGCAATCTAGAGTGTTTGGCAGGAGGACTTAGGGACTTATATTAAGTCTAGTTCATCATTTCAGGTCACATTCAAGGAAGAGGATGGGATTATGGTTAAGACAATTGGAACATATCTGTCGTCATCTGTGAAACAGATATTCCATAAAGCCTTAATGGTCAACCAACTCATGATGGTGTCCGTAAAATTTTCAAATGGATGATTTCAACTTCACCGCTTGGAACTCTTGGTTTAATAGCATCCTTGTGAGCAGTAACCTTCTAACAAGGAAATGATGATAGGAAATGCAATCTGGAATGTCCCAACAACAGCTGAGAGATATACACTACACATACAGGCAATGCTGGAATGTTGCTACATAGAAATGGAAAAATTCGCAATTGTGAAGAAATCATCTCTTTTGTTGTAAAATTTGTGGTTTTCAACTGACCCTTATTGTCAATTTCTAGATGTTAGTAAAGATATGAAGCAGATTTAACTGTATCTGCTGTATCCTGCATTTCAAGTCAGATGGGATAGATGATTTCTACATAGTCACCAACCTTTGAATTATTTAGTTAAGAGGACATCATCTTCATCGCAAAAAGTGAAGTTAAAGGATAATGCTTGCTTCTTTTCTTCCAACCTGTTTGGTAATTCCTGTAATTTCCCAATTTTATGCCATATTCATGATATTTGCTTTTTGGTTTCAAATTTTTTCCATTGATCATGTTGATTGTAAAAATGCGGATCGGATATAGCATCATTTTGGACTTTTATTTAACTATTCCATTGTGTGATTCTTATGATGTATTTTCCATTTGGTAATCATGGTAACAGTGATAAAAATTTAAATAACAATATCATAAATATTTGACTAAGACATAAAAAGTTATATAGGAATCAATTTAAGGTACATGAAGAGTAACTCTTTGTTTGATTGTTTTCTTAATAAACAAGCAACTTAGATAAATAAAGCATTTTTTCACTTCAAACAATGTAGTTTTAGAAGAAATGCATCCCTATGTTTCCACTGGAGATAGACAATGGATTTTTTAACATTGTAATATCCCCAATTCTGTACTTAACTGGATTTGCTAAGAATTGCTCATAGATTGAGTTCAAACCATGTAAACCATTTAATCATAGTACTACTAAGATAATTTTAATAATAATTATTCAAAAGCAAAAATTCTTTAGAAATAGTGGAGATACAATGCTATAAAAATATTTTTCTCCATCTAACTACTGTAGATGAATAAGTCATTATAATCCAATGGGAGTGTGGAGATAGAACCATGTCATTCTGACAAAAACTGGTAGTGTAAAAACCTCATATTCTAGTTGTATAGGGAGTTAGGCCATTACACATGGATCTCACATATATATATATATCTTCATTTTTATCAAAAGTGGACATACAACACTATAAGATTCACACGACGATTTTTCCTGTAGAGACATATTTCTATTTTCAGTTGAAATAGTTTGTTGCCTGAAACTGAACTTGGCGACCACAATACTTGTATACTAGTATTGTCAACAATACTCGTATATAATTAATGTACAAGTATTGTATACGAGTATTGTCATAGTATTGTTTATATAAAATATAAATACATTGAAGTAGAGTCATTATTACTGCCTTTACTCAAAAATATTCAAAAGTAATGTAATGATTTGAAAAATGTGTATTTCAGGATAGAAAATTAGAAACATTTGTTCATTTGTTGTAACGAAATGGTCAGAGTACGAATGGTTTTTGCCAGGGTACAAAATGGGAGGCGTCATCATACAGACATGGACACAAAAACAATTGACCAGATGAGAATCACCCTGCTTATAGCTGCAGTATATGAACGTTTCTGATTTATTATTGTGTATTAATTCAGGGACTTATACTGTTAGAATAATAGTCCCAGATTAATTTAACTTATTTAAGTGTTTTTGTTATCATGAATAAATAAAAGTATAAAGCAACATAGTCTCAATTTTTATATCTGCCTAAATGCATTAGAACAAAAAAACACCAACAAGTTGTTAATAAACCACCTCAATGAACATGATGAATAATAACAAACAATATTGATTTTTTAAAATTTTTTGTACAATACTTGTACATTTATTATATATACGAGTATTGTTGACAATACTCATATACAAGTATTGTGGTCGCCAAGTTCAGTTGATCCCAGTTTTGTGAATTATTTAAAGGCTCGCTATTTTGGACAATTTACAAAAAATGATTTAGTAAAGAATTAAAAAAATAAAATCCTACTATCTGACTATAACGTATAAAATTTATAACTAATAATCAATTGCTGTTTTGTATAATCTGAATTTAAAAAAAGTTGTGGTTAGAGAAGATATGGTTAAAATTCTTAAATCAGAGACAGCAATCCAACAAATAAAATAATCAAGACATGCTGGAGGGTAATATAGAGTCTTCAATAGTAAATATTGTTCATTAGAGTTACTCAATCCTCAATCATTATACATTCACACACTTATTAAGTTATCTATAAACAATGCGGTCAGATAAATTTGTAATATATGAATATATATATATCCAGGATACAAGACTCATACAACTTTACAAGCCCAATAAGAAAATGGGAAGATAATTTCCAGATACACTTGTCATGCAGTGACATTATTGGAATGACCATTATGTATCGACTTTTACTATATTGAGAAAATATCAACAAATACTTGTCAATAAATTTCTGGACACATTCCAGATACAACGGTGTACCGAGTAACGTAACTCTGTGTCCACCATCTTGTTTTGTTTTTATTGCTTTTATATAACGACAACAGTGTAAATCTGGTTATTTGTTTTATTAAAATTAAACTCTGTATCTGGTATCTGCCTTCTACCGCTGTTTACTTCAGTTAAAATATCCCAACAGCCTCTACTACTGCTGAACACTGGGAAAACTTACCCAAAATCCTTCTCACCAATCTAGACCGCCATGCATCATTTTCGAACAGGAAACCTACTGGTTACCGTTTTATACATCCTTTGCTCACAATGATATCTAAACCAGTTGCATGACCCACTCAATCACGCTCTCAATCACTCGATTGTATATATAAACAAGGATTTGTATACTATACAAATCCTTGATATAAATGATCAATTTAAGATAAACTGAATGTTAAAACTAAATAGAAATAAGACAGAAACAGCACAGTATATTTACCGCGAAATGATCAAATCCCGTCACATACAAATGAGGCTAAATACCGTAAAGTTTCTATTATATGATTTTTGGAATATATATGTCTCTGTCACGATCATGATTTCATTTTGATTCAAAATTAACGAATAATTTGTTTCACAGACGCTTCAGCAATGATGTACAAATAACAGAGTATTTCAGTGAGTCATGCCTTTTTTTAAACTTCTATATTTGAATTGTTCTATTTTATATTCAACTTATCTATCGGTTATTTTTTTTTTCAGTATTAATTTTAATGCAATTTAACTGAAGAGATATTGTCTATTGGCATAAAAGATAAGTAAGTACGTTGGCGGCTATCTAGCTATGCTTTATTTTATTTTACGACTGACTAAAAAAATCCAGTTTATATGAAGTAACGCGGTAACCGTCATCGTTTTTTTTTTCAGTTTTGTAGTCGTTTTACAAAGTCTTCCGCCATAGGATAACGAAGATAATAGACATATCTAGTGATACAAAAAATTGACAACACCATTTGTTCCTATATAAACTATGGAAATAGTATTCGGTAATTAGTTCACGAGATTTCGCCTCGCTGCCAATCTACGGTAAATACATGTCCGTCTGATAAGATAGCAACAATGTTTAGCATATTCGATCATGTTCATTTGAACCGCCCTGCTTTCAATTGTACATAATAAATGAGGGTCTGGGTGGGGTTTTAGAATTGAGAATAATGTCCAAAAAATATAATGAATAGAGAAAAATTGACAAAAAACTTCAAGAATAGAGAAAAATATAGTGCAAAGGTATAAAGGAAAACTGTGGAAAATAAAAGACTATTAGGTATTACACTGAATGCTGATTTCAGAAATGAACCATATACAGAACAAAGAATCATACAATGATTGCAGAAAAAATAACAGTAAAAATCAATTTCATGACGATAATACAGAATACGCGCTATTTTAAATATTAAGAAAAATGCCATAAAAAATAAAGAATCCCCTACAGAAATTATAATGACCCAACCAGACCGTAATAAATCATATCACAATATTTTCTCGTTTGAATTGCTTTACATTTGTCATTTTGGGGCCTATTATAGCCGACTATGCCGCGGTATGGGTTTTACTCATTGTTGAAGGCCGTATGGTGACCTATGATTGTTAATTTCTTTGTCATTTGGTCTCGTGTGGAGAGTTTTCTCATTAGCAATCATACCACATATTCTTATTTCTATATTTGTTCACTGAAATCAGTAATAACCCGAAATCAACCACTATTTAAATTTGGAATGACACTTTTTCTTGATTATTGTTGGCGTTGACGTAATTTTTGCTTATTTTCACCGAATGCAGAAATAACATGTCTCCGATTATTAGAAAAGGGAATTAAGATAGTTTTGGTATCGATATTTGTCTCTGGAGTCTTCAAAATTAATCTACTAACCTTAGTAAATGCGCACCTTATAAGCACAACAATGGGGAAACTGTCTTATATAGTCGACTTATGGTAACCAGTGGATGGTTTCCTATAGATGGATTAGGAGCAGTATAGAACTAACCTTTTAAGTTATTACTATATACTTCGTTGTAATTAAATCCTACCCTATCTCAAAACACCAAGGATGACTAGGGTATAGAAATATGGTCACTTTTAATTAGTCGTTATCCTACCTGCATGCAGTAAAATCCTTGTCAAAGTGTGGTGTCCGTTTGGCTGTGCGGGATGTATTTTAAATTAGCAGCCACGTCCGGTCTGAAAAGGAACGCTAAACCCGATACTTCGTAATCATGAGAGCGTTACATTGCTCTGCGCATTAACATTTCAACATTTATCTTATATTGCTGACTGAGTTTTTCTTATGTTTGTTTTGTGTCTGTATTGCTATGGCCAAAATTGTTTTTTTTTTTTTTTTGCAATAAAGAATAGACTGATAGATTATAATTAAAGAACCTTTATAACATCTCTTTGAAGTGTCTATATGTGGCCCGTTGTTATAGGGCAAAAAATGCTGCCCCTATATATCTAGTAACCATGGTTTATTTGTTCTAGTCCTAAACATGCATAACTGAAACATTTGCCGCTGGCCTTAAAGAAAACACCAATCAATCCATCCCGTATAACTTAACATTAAAAAATTAACATTTTAAGCAAAACTCTAAGGATCTATTAATAATTTAAACTTCTAAAATACGATTTTTAGGGTTATATTACTGACTGAACCTTAGTAGAATACGTCAGGCGGGCTCTTATTAAGTCCTTGTTTCTTGATATACGTTTGTCTTCTGATTTTTGTGTTTTTATAATATATGCATGCAATGTATATCTAATCAGAAAAATCATAAAATTAAAAAAGACTGTAGTGATTACTCAATCTACATTTTGACATGTCGGGGCCTATCCATAAAAGCTTACTATACGGTATGTGTTTTTTACTTATCGGTGATTACATCTGCGTCATTTGGTCTCGTGCTTATCGGTGATTACATCTGCGTCATTTGGTCTCGTACAGTTGGATAGTTGTCTTTTTTAAAGTATGGTATTTTAGTTTATAGACACAGACACGTGTCTCCTATATACTTTAATATACTTAAGTATATAGGATATTTTTCAGAGACACGTGCCTGTGTTTATAGAGAAGTCTTCGATGAGGAACTTTATCAATGATTTCGGAAAATCTATATATGTAGTAGTAAAATCGGCTTGGGTATTTTTATTGTCCGTATCTGATCATTTCTGAATGAATGAGAGTTATTGAATTTCACATGCATGAGTTTGAGTTTCCCATGTGAAACTGAAATATATTTTTCCACATCTAATAAAGGACAATTATTGCTGGTTATATCAAATTAATATAAAGTGAGTTCCCATGGGTACATTTTCGCAGTATATTGATAGATTTTTAAAAATTATTTAAAGCAAAAGTTTTCATCCACGTGTTAATAGTTTTATCTATATTGAATGATCTTTACTGAGTTTTGCCATTAACTGCGATTCATATGAATGCAGCCAGGTCAATTAAGTTTGCTATTTTAGGGGCGTAATTGGTGCCCGTAGGAATACAACCTGTCGACATAATAAATTGCCGGGACGGTCGTTTATATAAATGTTTAAAGGAGAAAATAAACAGCTGTTATCTAATCACAGTTTCAGTAAGAGTATCTAGCATGTTTACGTTTTCATTACAGACGAAGGTTTATATATAAGTTTCAGCAAAAACGTTGGCTATCAGATTTTTCTAAATACCTTTTGATTAGATATGAAAATTTTTATTTGATAGAATTGTGTGGAAGTAGAGAGTCCAAAAGACTGTCATATACTGTCAACCGAATTGAAAGAACAATCAAAAGCACGTAATTTATCTAAAACGTCCAAAGAGTTTTTTTACACTCCAAAAATAATTAATGCCATTGTTGCATACGCTTTATTAAGGATAGTAAGACTATACAAATCCTTGGCTTTATTATCAAATTTAAAATAAGATTTGTCAGTTCTTATTGACTTCCCCTTTTTGAATTTACCTTGGAGTTCGGTATTTTTGTTATTCTTTTTTTCTTTAATAGTAGTAGGGAGTGACTACTTCAACCGGATGAGAAAGATAAGTTGTGATACACTTAATATAGAAACCAAAAATAAAGCCTTGAATGTAGAAGAATTTGTAATTTTATTTTTAGTTACAGGTACGAAAATGGACATTATAAGATTTTGCAAGCAACTAGAACACGCGAAAATACATATGAATATCGAAAAATTGTAAAAGTCACGCTTATACTTTCGGAGATAAAGCAAATCGTACATCCGACCAGAAACGCTACAATATGCGTTAATAAAGTTCAGCAATTTGTAATTCAAATTTTTGTTTCTCGAAATCTGTGATTTTTGTGAAATTTCCGTTTTATTGATACAGGCGATATATAAAATTTATAGGCGTCACCGAATTCATTCGTTTTTATTGTATATTACCTTTTAAGTATTTCCGTTTTATTGATACAGGTGATATATAAAATAAATATATATTTTAGATTATTTCAGATACACTTAAATGATTATATACAATAATAAAATGCTCCGCTGGGGCGCAGCTTGATACGACCGCAAGTATGGACACACCATTCAAGCTTGATACACGGCACTGAATTTGGATTGTAATTAAATATTTGACACAGCATAGGTTTCTGACACAGAATGAAAGTGGTCTAAGAACTTAAAAAATTTTAATTTACCTATTCAAACCATATCATTATTATTTGCTTTTATATATAAATCAGAAATAACCAATTTAAAATGGTAAATTTTAAAGAAAAAAAAGGGGGAAAAAATCCCCCCCCCCCCCAAATTTTTTGAACCCCCTTATGATTCATCACCCCCAAACTCAATCCCAGCCTTCCCTTTGTGGTATGGTACCTTGCGGCTCAATTTCAGAGAGATCCATACACTTGAACACAAGTTATTGTCTGGAAACTAGAAAAATGCTTGTTTTTTGGCCCCTTTTTGGCCCCAAATTCCTAAACGTTTAGGGCAATTACCACAAACTCAAACCAAGCTTTCCCTTTGTGATATGGAACCTTGCAGCACAATTTCATAAAGATCCATACACTTACACACAAGTTATTGTCCTGAAACTAGAAAAATGCTTGTTTTTTTGCCCTTTTATGGCCCCTAATTCCTCAAATTTTGAGGGAATTACCCCCAAAATCAATCCCAGCCTTCCCTTTGTGGTATGGTACCTCGCAGTACAATTTCAGAGAGATCCATACACTTGAACACAAGTTATTGTCTGGAAACTAGAAAAATGCTTATTTTTGGCCCCTTTTTGGCCCCTAATTCCTAAACTTTTTGGGCAATTACCCCGAAACT